CACACACACACACACACACACACACACACACACACACACACACACACCAGACAGCATCTTGTGGGAACTGGTTTGTCCTTTATCATATGCACAAACTCAGGTTGTCAGGCTTGGCGGTAAGCTACTTTACCCACTAAGGCTTCTTGAGAGCTTAATACAGGAATTGTATAAACACTTTTCCGTCAACTCTTTACCTTAAGCAAGTGCTGAGACTTGTCTAAAGTGAATTCGCCCTCCCATTATAAATCATAGCTGGAATTTCACTGTCTGGTCACTGCCACCACACATCTGCTCCTGAACCGGAATGTGGTCATGATGGCAAGAAGAGAGCAGCGGTCATTGGCTGCTCAGTTCAGGCTGACAGTCACTTCCTCCATTTAAATAGCCTGCGCGTGTAGGACACAGGCTTTAGGACTCGTATAGGAAATCCTAAAACAGTGCATGCCTAGCAACATACCAAGTTGCTAGATGAGGCTTTTGGGTAAAGGAAAGATGGGGTAAAGAATAGTTACGTTTTTGACACTCAAAAACCACACTCTGCAAGTGTCTTCTAAAGAGCCTGAAATTGGAAAGCTGGGGAAAGACTGAAAGATGGCTCAGTGGTTAAGAAACTGGGTAATTCAATGTCTTCAAGCTGTTAATCTGGGGTCAAAGAGAAGGATTTGTGAACATTAAAGATTAGCAAAACTTTGGGCAAATTAAATTTTTGTTTTTAATTAGTAACTAATTACAAAACTATGAAGCCTTTCAGCAAAGAACCCCAACTCTTTATGAAAGAGCCCTACTCAACATTCTCATGCCATGTGTGTGCCATACTTGCCCATGTGGTTATTATTAACACATGCAAAGGCATAGGCATAACAGTTTAAAGCCCCAAGCGGGCACTAGTACATCAACCGTGCTGACACATCCTGCACCCTCTCCTCTGTGACTCTTTCAGGACGCAGGTGCACCGCCCTCACGGCGTGCCACAACACGCCTATACACCCAATGACCCACTGTTTTCCATCACCCACAAAAGCCAGTCTTCAATGGACCACGTAGGAAGTCTGGTCACAGTTCTGAGCTGTTCTAAAGCCTTTTTCTTTTTTCCCTTTCTCTCTCTCTCTCTCTCTCTCTCTCTCTCTCTCTGTCTCTCTCTCTGGTGAGAGAGATCAAACCCAGGGCTGCGTGTAACCCCAAAGAGACAAAGACTCTAGCATGCACGGGGCCACAGCCCTATTCTAAAATCGAGTTAGTTCTTTTCAAGAATTCTACAGCACGTGACTATTCAACCGGTCGCTTCTTTCTAGGCAAGGGATAGTCACTTGGCCCCAACCTTTCTGTCTTCTGCATGCTGCTTAGGCCCTGCAATAGGAGACTACTCACTGCTCTTCTCCACAGGGTGGGAGCTGTTTCACCTGTCTCCGTTTATGTGCATTTTTGGCCCCTTCCTTGCTAGGCAAAAATCCCAATGTTTCAAGAATCTGTTAACACTAACCCCATATTCAGACTCTTTTCCCAAAACAGCTCTGTTCTCACAGAAGATGAGGCTTCTCAGAACCCTTCACTAATACAGCCAGGAGCAATGTTTACAGTACAGTTACTACAAAGGGGACTGAGGATTTAGTGTTTGGTAAGAACACTGTTAACGTGAAATTTCACGGCTGCTAATGATAGGGCGATAGACATATTAGGAGACTAACAATAATTATCCTGCTGTCTAATCAGATGACAACAAACACTTGAGCTTGAACAAGTAAGAGCTCATTATGTTTGCAATTAGAATAATCATCCTGTCATTCAATGCCCAGACCAGAGCGTCTCAATCTTGGCTGCATAACAGATTTACCTAGACCTTTATGAAAATACAAGCAGCTGACCTCCATGCAAGGCTTACAAAATCCACGAGTAGCAAAGTCTAAAGTTTCCAAAAGCTCTACAGGTAGTTCTGGTGCCTAGCCAAGACCGAGAGCCTCTGGACTCAACAATGCTGTGAGATCTCCAAAGTCAAAGAACAGTAGAGCAAGTGCTGGCTAGAAAAAGTAGGTCAAAGGGAAGAAGGCTATGCCTTGCAGTTAGTGTTAAGAAAGCTTAAGAGAACCTACTTGAACCCAGGGCAGAAATAAATTAAAACTGGAAAAGCAGACGAACACAATTCTCAAAAATTGGCAGTGTGGTCAGTAGCTCTGGAAACTGGCTTACAGGTCAAATGGCAAGCACGTCCCCCAGGCCGGGCTGTCCCTTTGCAGTGCCATTTGGAGTAATGCTAGCATCACCTAAGGATGGAGAGATCACCCCACTCCAAGGCTGGCCTCACTGGAGCTTCATTTGCTGTGTTGGGTGCTAAAGGAGATGTCGCTGCACATTCTCTCCCCATCGCTCTACGACTGGCCTGAAAGCACTTGAGCACTGGCTCTAAACTTTACACTAGGAACCTCCATCAACTCTCATTTGAAAAAAAGGATAAAATAGCAAATTCCGCCGCATTTAACACTGTTTTCTCCGGAACTGTCCTCCTTTCCTTCACAATAAAACCCTTAACAAAGTGGTAGCACCAATGTTTCATGTCTCCCCCACTGCTGTGATGGACCAGCTAGGCCACCATCACTCCATTGTCGTTGTTCATAAGCTACAAACAGCCCGTCAAAGGCCTCCTGTGTACAGTGGAGTCATCTGGTCAAACTCCGGCCTACCATTTCCTTTGTTCACTCTGCTGGGCCTCCTGTACCTGCCCAGACAGCGCCCTGCAATAGCCTGTGGTGTTTTCCTTCCTCTAGAAACACTGGTGTTCAGAAGCTCAGGCACTTGCTCTATTTGCTCTTCTATCTACAGCTCTTTTCACTTACCTCATAATTAACCCCAAATTTACGACCCCTATTCTAAGTTGCAGACTCAAATAGCTAACTGCTTCCTTGACACCTCCCTTTGGATGTAAGATAATGTCACACCACACCAAAATCAAACTCTAGCTCCCTCCCCAAATCAACAGGGATTCCTATTTCAGTTAAGGCAATCATATCCTATAGCGCCCAGTAAAAAACCTGAAATCGATCCTTAAAATCCCCCTTAGACCCTACCTGTGATCCTTTCGTATACTCTGTGGGCTTTCTTATAAATATACTCAGAATTAGAGTTTAAAATTTGTTAAATAGATCCTTTTTTATTTTGCTTTTTGTTTTTTTGAGACAAGGTTAGGCTGGCGTCAAACTCCCCCTCTTCCTGATTGTTGAGATACAAGCACATGGCACCCACAGGCCTTGATGACTTCGGTCATTCTCCACTGCCTCCTTCTAGCTGTTTCTCAACAGCGGCAGTGCTAGAGGCTCCTCCTGCACATTAGCCTTCTGGAGGCAGAGAGAACACGCCAGGTACTCTCCCTGCTGCAGTGCCTCATCTTCGCCATGCTATCTGCCTGTATAGTAGTCTTCTAAACACTCACACGGCTCACCATGTCTTCACTTACCTAGGTCAGTGAGGCCTCTCTATCACACAACATTTGACAGCAGTTTCCAGTCTTCTCTTCCGCTATGCTAAGCACCTCCTGTTACTTACTGCCACTCACAAGATCTGTTTATATCTGAGATTTGAGTCTTCTGTTCATTGGTAAACAAAACTAAGAGTAACACAGCACATGACAGTCCATAAATATTTATTGACAGAATTCATTATTGTGCCTTTCAGAGATGGCAAACAAAGTTGTGATCAATTTCTCTTTGAGAAATGCCAAGATGGTGCCTTTCTTTAAAAATATTACAAACAAGAGCAAATCGAGCCTCCCATAGAACACAGCAGGACTCAACTAATGAAACAACAAAAACCTTGGAAAAAGCATGCTGTCCTTACCTGGGCCAGCCTTTGCCTCTTTTTTCCTCTGAGAGGTCCAGCCCACTATGGAATGTTTGTCAACCCCTGGTCTGTCCTCTAGGCCTCTATTCAAGCGCCAGATTCTCAGTGTGTTGTCATCAGAGCAGGTAGCAATCTAGGAACCAGATGAGAATGACGAAAACAAAATAAGAGGTGGATGAGCCCTAAGGGCTCATGAACAGCGGCTTGTTTTTTTTTTGCTAAAACACACCAACACTGATATTTTAAAGAGCACCTACTTTCATACCTTCTTTTAGATCATTTTTTCTACATTTCTGATGACAGAATGTGTTTTCTGAGAAACGTGTTACCAGTGACTCGTTTTTGAAGGTGTTTTGCCTGCATGCACACGTGTGCCGCAGAGAGCAGAAAGGAGTGACAGAGCCTATGGGGTGCAGTTAGAGATGGTTGCAAGCCGTCTGTGTGTGCTGGGAAGCACATCTGAGTCCTCCGTCTTCCATCACACCATTCTCACTAACCTACAGACACAGATCTGTAATTACAGGCTCATCTCCTTTTCATTTCTAAAGGAGACGGACAACTCACACATTTGACACTTTTTACATAACTATTAATTATGTAATTAAAATTCCCCTTTATTCTCCTTCTGCGAAATGATGGAGCAATACCTATCACTATTCTATTTCTACAAGTTTCTTCTAAATGCTACATGCTTTATCTTACTACTAAAACGAGAACGTTTCCCAGATCAGACTTAGCCTGTGACTCCAGGAGGCCATGACAATCACAAAGCCATTCCTTGGAGATGCTTTTTCAGATAGGTAAAGGAGCATTCTGGAAAAACAAAAAAGCTCACTAGGCTGAAAGAAGTTAAAAATAACCTTTGCCCCTTTAAAAATATCTGACCATTCCCGATCTTGGTCCCCAGCCTTTTATGGCAGAGAAAGGCAGCTTGAAGAGCTGGAGGCCAATGGCCACTGATGCCAGATCTGTTCCCTAGCACTTGTTTATACAATTTCTCTATTTCAGTCACTAAACAGAAAGAAAAAAAGAACACACGTTAAGTCGTGGCCCCCAAGAGACTGGCAACTTTTTCCTTCCCTTACTGGGAGGCCAAAAGAAGACACAAATTTTACTCAACGAAAAATGTTGGGAACTCCACAACTGCTCTATAGTGACAGTAATTATATTTATAGGCACCTATTATACATATGCTCCTTCACATTCTCGATCTTATTAAAAACCCTTGAAAGCCAAGCACGGTGCTGCACACCAGTAAGACTAGCACTAGGAAGCTAGGGCAGGAAGACACTGAGTTCAAAGCTTCGAGCTACACAACAGCAAAATAATCTTACAAAAACAACCCCCTTCCACCTGAATAAAGAAAATACAAAAACCCTATTATCTTGGGACTTTTTTTTTGTCCAAAAAACATGAAATGAGAAAAAGCAGAATTTAAACCAAGCCTCCTCCTATTCTACAATTTAGAGCTTAAAAAGAAAAACTCAACCTCATTAATTCTAAGCCTCTGACAAAATTATTTTGAAGAAGTTTAAAAAGAAGTGATCAGTAATGAGTTCAGTGAATCTTTTCTCATAGGAAATGATAGCTGGAAAAAGTAGGTACAATCAACTGACTAGTAAAAGTGGCTCATCTTAGTTATGTTCACGATAGCCCATACGCAAAGCAGACACTTCATGAGAAATTACATGGAATCTTGGAGAAAACGTCACCAGGATGACAACTGTAGCAATAGTTTAAGAAAGGTCTGTATGGGCAAGGAACAACGCCTTAACGTGCATGCAAGTGTCACAGCGAAGGCTGCCCCTGTGGATGCTTGTAAAAAGATCTCTCGTGAAGCTAAGAAATGTAATACGGGTATACAAACCAACCAACCCTAGGAAAAATCCACAGCAGTTCTGAAATGCTAACAGGATGCCAACACCACGAGTAGACTAGAGATAAGTTTCTGGAAGACTAGAAAGTTCCAGTGAGGAACAAGAGAAGCCACAAAGATTCCTATGTATAAACATAGCTTCTGTTTCTGGTCTTCTTACATTTTAAGCGGTGTGGCTACAGTATTCTGACCCAATTCTTGTAGTTTAGCCACAGGTAACTTGCCCTGTTAAAACTTGACAGTAACCACTGTCATTACATGTGAACACTGTGGCGAACAGCCAGACGTCACTGTTAATTTCCATTTTGTTGGGTTGTTGTGACTCTCACATCTTCATGTAGTGCTCTGAACTTTGGAGGATTTTGTTATGTGTGAGTAGGGCATATATGGGCACACTGAAGCCACAGGAAAAAGACGGGGTATGCTTTTCTACAGCTCCCCTCCTAATCTCCTGAGGCGGGCCTCCCCTAAGCCAGAAGCTCACAATCCCTCCTGCGGGCAGCCCAGCGGGTTGTCGGGTTTCTGGCATGCCAACAGGGCTACAGGAAAGCACAGTACCTGAGCTTCCCAGTTGCTGCTGGAGAAATCTCATGATTGCATAGCAAGCACTCTTATGCACTGAGCCTTGGCATTATGCACTGGCTTTAAAATTTTTTACCTATTTATTTTTAATTGTGTGTTTGTCTCTGAGCTTGTGAGAGCAGGTACACATGAGGCCAGATGCACTGGATGACCCTGAAGCTGGAGTTACAGGTGCCTACGAGCCACCTGAAGTTAGGGTGGATTCTGAGAACCAAACTTAGGCCCTCTTTAAGAACAGTATTTGCTCTTAACCACTGGGCCACCTCTCTAGACCTTCACTTCAGATTCTAAGATGACAAAAAAGAACCCAACTTTACTCCTTTAGTATATAATGATTTCTCACATTGGTGAGAAAAGCAGGGGAAAGTGTGTGTGTATGAAAATGTGCAATACACTTTCTGGATTGTTTTAAATGTCTGAACATAAAAAGACTGTCATTTTCAAACAAACCTTAGAAAACTGTATAAACTTAGAATCTACTTTTTAGAATCGGTTATGGAGATTCGGCCACAAACCTTGGTGAAGTCCGATGGACACCAGCACACGGATGTAACCTCTTGAGAATGACCCAGGAGCACAGTAGGAGGATGCCAGGGCATGGAAACCTGTCCAAACCAAAGAACAAGTCGGCAGATCAGTGTTAGGTCCCCCACTGAGGCTGGAACCTCCTTAACTACATCACAGGGCTTCAGGGTGGTTAACAAAGACAGAGCTATCTTAAGTTCAATAGTCAAAGTCAAGACTAAGTTCAAGCTGCAGGAGAGCTCTTATTTCAGTTAAAATGCAATGCTAATTTTAATTCATTCTACTAAAGCCATTGAGCTTTCTGGGTAGAAGTTCAGTTCCAGACACAGCTCTTCAATCCAGTCCTGCCTTACACAGCATGGACACGCTCAGATCTTCTACGGTCAGCCACTTCCAGGAACAGCAGGTACCTGAAAAGGGCAACCAGCTCTTTTACGGTAAGGGGAAAGGTTTTAAAAAGCAAGACAAGTTGACTGTGACCAAAATCCAAAGTATTGTCCTTTCATTTTGAATTGGATAACCTCCAATTTAAAGGGAGACATATAAGCTATAATTTACACTTTTTCATTCAAGCTTTTCAGTTAATCTGTTTGAAAAAATATATATACAATTTCCAGTAATTCCAGCACATTTTAACAAATCTGTAACGAATTAAGAGAGTTCGGACTGTGAAGTGCTGTGCATATCACTAAGATTTTAATTTTCCCATCACCGGAGGCTTCCAGTGGCAGGCGTTTGAGAGCACTGCACACACAATTTTTTCCAGAGCTATCAATATCCTTTACAGCTCACAAGAACCAAGCACAATAAACAGTACAAGCTCACACTGCTATTATTAGTCCATCTATTTGAAAATATGCAGCTTGGTGAACCCATTCTCTATTTTCCTGAGGCTCTGAATCATGGATCATTTGCATGAAGTGCAGGCAACTTTGGAAAGACTATCTGTGATAATGACTAAGTCTGCTTAACAGAGTCTTTGGATTACAGCTAAGAGACTGGTTCGTGAGGTTATCTAAGTCAATCATTACCACTCTTATCTCTGCTACAAGGCAAATGCACAATGATTAAAATGGCAAAAACAAAGAACAATGCCTAATTTGCCTTGTTAAAGTTTACTGTATTAACAGCTAAGGTGGCTTTCCCCAATCTACATAGGCTGTATTGCCTATCCCTATAAGCCACAGACTATGCCATTCTTTCACAGGAAAACACACTTCAGAAAGAACTTTAAAATTAGATGGTTTCTTACTGTCCCCGCTGTCAGGAACTCTCCTTCCTTTCTGTTTGTGATGAACCTAGTGCACTAAGTTTCTGTTTCCCCAGTACTCAGATGAAAGGAAGAGGAAATCCTCACATCCTTGTGAGCATTTCTGGTAAAGCATTTCTTCCTGTCAGTCTATCACCGCCCATTTCTTAGTTCTTGTAACACAGTAACTAGGAGCACCTAACCTTATACATAAAATATTAAAGTTTTAAGATAAACCAAGTACTTGCCAACAGAATGTACCCAGTTCTGTACTTTTCTATAGCTCTCAAAGAAAAACAACCTTCATAAAAACTCAGACAGTAGCGATATCGAAGTAGAGGCTATGGCTAATAGCCAAACTTTGGGCAGAGTACAGGAAATCTTAGGAAAGAAGGGGGAGATAGAAAGACCTCGAAGGGACAGGAGCTCCAAAAGGAGAGCAACAGAGCCATAAAAGTTGAGCCGCGGGGGCCCTGAAGAGAATGATACCCCAACCAAGGACAATGCATGGAGAGTACCTAAAACCCTGTCTCAGATGTAGCCCATAGACTCAGTCTTTAAGTGGGTTCCCTACTAAGGGGAGCAGGGACTTTCTCTGGTATTAGCTCAGTGACTGGCTCTTTCAGCACCTCGCCCCGGGAGCCACGACAGTCCACAGAAGAAGACAATGCAGCCAGTCCTGATGAGACCTGATAGGCTAGGATCAGAGGGAAGGGGAGGAGGACCTCCCCTATCAGTGGACTAGGGGAGGGGCATAGGGGAAGAAGAGGGAGGGAGGGAGGGAGGGTTTGGGAGGAGACAAGGGAGGGGGCCACAGCTGGGAATCATATTGAAGAAAAAAGAAACTGTAATAAATGGTGATAATCAAACAACAACAACAAAACCTTAGACAATACAGACTCAGTAGCAACAATAATAGAGTCCACATTTATTCACTGAATTCATAAATCAGGTACTTCATATAGCAGCAAAATATAGGTGGAAGGTACCTCAAAAAATTCACAGGCGTAATTAAATATCATGATCTACTAACTCTATTCTTTGGTATATACTGGGAAACTTAAAGTATAAAAATAGTGATAGCACAGTTTTAACAGAGTAAAAAAATTCCGATCATTTCAAATGGCCATCAATTGGCAAGCAGATAAAATATATGGTTTGCCTATTAAATGGAAGTCTTCAGCCTTAGGAAGGAGTGAGGTAATATGCAACATGCCTAAACCTGGAAAATATACTAAATGAAAGCCATGTACAAAATGCCACCTATTATGTTATACTATTTATATGGAATGTCTCAATTAGGCAAAAATCCATAGAGAAAATACCGTGTCTAAGAAGAGAGATGTCCTAGTGTGACATCCAGAATGTCGACGGTGGACAAGGCCACATAACCCTGATCACACTGAACTGTAGACTTTATTCTTCAGTGAAGCTGGGGAACCAACCAGGGCTCCCACATGCTCAGCAAGTGCTGGAACACCGCACTCACCACACTCTCGACTTCTAAGTACATCGCTTTACTTTCTCGTAAATACTGAGTCTTGTTCGGCCCAGCTCACCTTAAACTTGAGACCCTCTTGTGTCTAATTCCTAGGTGCTGTAATTTCAGGTGTGCACAATTATACCCCTGACTCCTAAATTCTGTTTTAATAAGAAGAGGAAGAGACAGAAGCCAACTGTTTGTAAGTTTTTTTTCTTAAGATTTATTTATTACATATGCAATGTTCTATCTGCATGTACACACACACCAGAAGAGGGCACTAGTTCTCACAATATATGGTTGTGAGCCACCATGTGGTTGCTGGGAATTGAACTCAGGACCTCTGGAAGAACAGCCAGTGCTCTTAACCTCAGCCATGTCTCCAGCCAGCCCTGCTGATAAGGGCTTTTTTTTTTGGGGGGGGGTGGGGGGAAGACTTTGACAAAAAGTGCTTTTGACTGCTCAAGACTATCTTAAGGTACAAGTTGTACTCTGACTATTTTAAATAGGATTATTTTTTTCTCATGAAACTCAGACGGCTTTGAATTTACTTTCATTCCAGTAAGTTTTAACATCAATTCATTATAAAAAACCACTGCCATAATTATTTGATTTCATTTTTTAAAAGCTTCCCTTGAGTATGACAGAAACTATTAAAAAAATAAATAAAAAAGAACCTAAACACTTTGGGGCAGTCAAGACAGAAAACTGTCCTCTTTTAATATACCTTTTATAGAATGTTTAAGACAAAAGCAATCTCAAAGTTGAATTTATGAGGCAGCTCTTAGGGCAAATTGCTCTACCCTCATTAAAGCACTTTGAGTACTTAAGCATACAAAAAAAGCCATCAGCACTTTTCCTCAAAAAAAAAAAAAAAAAAAAAATCTCCTTACTCTGCCCAATTGGAAACCAAATCTAATCTTTATTTTTGCCATGAGATCATTTACACTTCCTAAAGTGTCAGGCTCAGTGTTCCGCCAGTCAGCGGTAGAATGGCCATGCCAAATCAGTTTATTTATAACCACTTCAATACTATTCAGTGGCTGTATCTGAAACAGACGGAGGAAGAGGGGTGGAATGAAGGGTAGGAAATTAAAAAGCAGAGTGCTCAATGTTTGTATTTTTAGAATGTTTGGCCTTAGTATCAGATACTACATTTCCCTTTTAATGAGGAATAAGGATTCTACAAAAGGCCATTCTCTTGTGCCCGAAGATATAAAACTCCTTTCTTCTGTTCTTTCCTCATGCAAGGGCTTTAGCACAGAACAGATTCACTGTGAAAGCAAAAGCTAACCCTGGAGAAGCAGCAGCAGAGTTAAAACCACTGCAGTGACCAAGGCTCTCAGCTTACATGGACTCCTGTCTAAACTCCTCCTCCCTGTAATAACGGAAAAGAGAAACTGAGCCATCTCACTGGACAAATTCAATTTTAGGAGCAGCAAACCTGCCAAGATCTCAAATATCAGGGCCTGTACACTGAGCTATGTGCAGACAGGCAGGAGAACGTCCTGTCTGAACCATGTCATTCAGTGGTGACGCGGAACCAAGCCTGGCAATCTGTGTATGTGGTGGTCACAAATGAGATTTCTAAGGATGGGCCAGAACCCCACCAAGTCCACAGTGTGCAGCCCCTCGAGTCTCATTGACCAAATACAACATTTTAAAAGGAGCCTGCACCAGAAAAAATTTTAAGAACGGGCAAGAAAATGTATTATATATATATTTAGTTACATATACAATTATATATATTTATAATTAAATAACTCATTTAAATGGCTTAAGAATGGTTGGTAGATATGTATTTTTACATCAATATTGCAATATTTGTCATGGCCTTGGCCATTCTGTTACTTGATATGTCTAATTTCAGTTGGTGTTTTTCTTTCAAGAAAGAAACCTCAAATGGCACAGACTTGTGGAATTAATAAAATTCTGTAACTAAGTTGGGAGTTAAAAGGAGAGAAATAAATCTAGTGAGATAGTGAGGGAAGGAGAAACAGAAAACACAAAGAGCAAAACTTTGAAACTCAAATATTTAAAGGTAAGAGGGAAGCACTTCTCTCAACAATAAACAGAGACACTTAAAACTCCAGGAAGAGTGCAGAAAGCAGGGGAGGCCGCTGTTTGAGATGGGAGTCTCTGGCTGGAGAGGTAGCTCAGAGGTTAAGAGCACTGGCTGTTTTTCCAGAGGTACTGAGTTCAATTCCCAGCAACAACATGGTGGCTCACAACCAACTGTAACGAGATCTGGTGTCCGCTGGTGTGTAAGTACACATGCAGGCAAAACATTGCATACGTAATAAAAAAAATAAAAAAGGTGAGACTCTCAAGTGTACATTCATAAGGAAACTTTCATTAAACCTCCAATGAGCAAAGAAACACCCACATTAACATAAGCGCCTCGGCTAGAATGGCAGCCCCACCTGTGACCACTGAGGAGACTGACAAAAAGCTGTCTGTGGGTAACATGTCATTTTTGCAATTCCAGGTACGAGAATTATTCTTTTGCACTTCCTCTAGGACATCTTTCCATTAACGCCACTTAGGTTTCTTGGCTTACAGCAGTTGTTTTAGAATATGGATATATAAATGTGGTCTTTAAGAAGCATACATTTCCTTAATAAGCAGTAATGGACATCTATAAAATGACAGTGTGGGATCAGAAGGGCTGACACGCATGGAAGGGGCTGACAATATGGAGCAGAATGGGCAGTGTGCATAATTTTCAAGAAGCAAGACTGTTGAAGGCTCTGACTTTTCAGAATTCTTCACCTCCATGTCCTGAAGGAGGACACAGAATGCCCCATCCCCAACTTTTTGGTGCATTTTATAGTGCTAGCCATAAAATGAAATGGCTAGCAAGCAGCGACCTTTCAAACATTCAATGCAAGAAGTCATCCGTGTGCTTGCACTAAACAGACCTCCGACTGGGCCACAGCCTTCTGTCTGCACGGGATTTGACAACTCACCTTCCAAATGTAGGCAGCCTCATCACTTGAGCCACTCATTAGAAACTGGTCATCTGGACTAAGACTTGACTTTACGTAAAAGGTAGAGTTCTGGTGTCCATTGAAGATAGCCACTGCCAGAGGAGAAAACCAAATTACTTGGCTCCTATCATTTCCATTATTTCAATAGATGCAAATGACACAACACACAAGTGTTACTACAGGGAGCTAAACACTAAAAACAGAACAAAACACAACCTAAAATTAAGTCATGTATTAGACTCAATCTACTGAAATCAACATAAATTATTTGGTATGGAACTAAATGTCACACGACAATGTCATGAAAAGAAATGCAAGAGGCCTAGTTCTATAGTACATACAGACTGTGCCTAAATACTTATCTATCCTCTAGGAGGATTTTCTCCATTGGTAATCGTCTTACCACTGATGGTGAGCTTCTTGAGGGCATCTCACTTTTTTGTAGACCTTAGTACTTTATGTATATAGCATTCTGCCTGCGTGTATGCCTGCACGCCAAAAGAGAGCACCAGATCTCACTATAGATGGCTGTGAGAAAACCATGTGGTTCCTGGGAACTGAACTCAGGACCTCTGAAGAGCAAATAGTGTTCTTAACCTCTGAGCCGTCTCTCCAGTGCCCCACTCCCGCTTTTTTTTTTTTTTTTTTAATTCAACTGTTTTAACAGGCAGAATGATAGATGGACCCAGAGGGATATAATGTATGTTCATCTGTAAACCACTAGTTAGCATTAGGTTTCTCACCATCCACGGTCAAAGACACTACTAGAAAATTTAAAGGAGAAAGTTTAATTACCAGAGAATTTAAAGATAAAGCAGGAAATAAAGCCAGAACAAAACATTTGAATGCTTAACAGACGAAGAGGCAGGAGCAAGAATTTTAATGGCTTTTGGTAAGGAAGTGCTCACAGAAATTCCTTCCATTTTTAGAACAGAAAAAACTGTATTTATACATTTAAAACAAAACCAAAACATGGTTCTGAAGAGATGGCTCAGAGTTAAGAGCACCGACTGCTCTTCCAGAAGACCCTATTTAATTCCCAGTACTCACATGATGCTTATAATTGTCCACAGCTGGGATGTACTTACGGACACAATACCCATACACATTAAAAAGAACAAACACCTTATATATCAAGTGTTCTCCGTGTCTGTCAGAGATTCTTAATAGAAAAAAAAGTGAAGCTCAGCACAAGTCAACGTAGATATGTTATAAACTCATTATGATAGTCTGGAGGTGGCAGCACAGGACCCTAGCGCTCGAGGCAGAGGCAGGTAATCTGAGTTTTAGGCCAGCAGGGTCTACAGAGTCCCAGGACAGCCAGGATACAGAAAAACCCTGTCATCTTGAAAAACCAAAACCAATAAAACCAACAACAAAAACCCCTTACTGTGATAAAAACCCATGTAATAGTCTCCTTCATTTTGAGCACTGCTCCAAACTGAATTAATTACTCGTCTTCTGCATGAACTATGGATATAAAGTTATAAACTCACCTTCCCACTAACCCTGTTTTATTGCCCTCTGCTGGTCTAGGAAAAGCTAGTATAAAATACTGCAAATGATTCAAATATGGCAAAAACTCTAATACCCAATAGCAGCTTTCATTATAATGAACTCTCATTTATCATTGTTCTGAGATGAAGAGTCTCACTATGCAGCCTAAAGCAGCCTTGAACTTCTGATCTTCCCGCTTCAGTGTCTGAAACACTGGAATTGTAAGCGTGTGCTACTATGCCTGGCTTCAGCTTAGCTTTTCTATGCCCCTGAAATGGGGGCATGGGATATAACTATCACTTACTACATTATAATACCGTGACTTTAAAAAGAAACAAAATCAACCAAACAACAACAACAAAACACCAAAAGGCTTGTCCTTTCCAAAGTCTTGAAAAGGCAAGGAATTACCAGGCACAGACACACACACTCTCATACTCTTCCTCTCTTTTATTTTTTGAGACAGGATCTCTTTATTATGTAACCCTGGCCATCCTCAAACTCAGAGATCCACCTACCTCTGCCACCTGAGTGCTGGGACTAAAACCATGCGCCACCACACCAGGCTAGTATTCTTAAAACAAATCTATCCATGAGAACAATTTTAAAAGGGCAGGAAAAGGGTATTAAATTATTAGTAAGTGCTTAATGGCAGACTGGCAAACAAAACTCAAGACCCTTTGGTGCTACATTATAGGAAAACAAACATAAAATAGAATAGGCCTGCTAATGAACCAGGATTAGATTTTTTATCTGTGTGTGTGCACTGTGTAACATTATGTGTGCGCCTTGTGCACTGTATAACATTACGTGGAGGCCGGAGGGCGAAGACATCAGGTGTCTTCTTCATTATTCTACCTCCAAATCTACAGACAAGTTTCTCCCTGAGCCTGAGGTTCAGCAAATCCACAAGACTAGCTGGCCAACAAGCCCCAGAACTCTCCCATCTCTGCTGGCCCAGCAGAGACTACAGGTCTGTGCTGCACAAGCGCACACTCAGGTCCTCATGTATGCATGGCGAGCACTTTGCCACCTGAGCCATCTTTCCAGGCCATACAGCGGTTCCTCCACCACTCCCTTTTGGTGGTACTGAGGATTCAACCTAGGACTTGGTGCACACCAGGCAAGCCCTCTACCACAAAGCTAGATTCCCTACCTGATTTTGTCTTTTGAAGAAAGATTTGAAAGGTCATACCAATTATGGTACTGCCACAGATCACATAATCCACAAGATGGCTGGGGAAAAATATTTGGAAATTTTTCTAAGCGCACACTCAAAATGACCCAAATCCACAGTGTTTCAAAATTTCTTGTTTATCAGCACATTTGGGAACCAAGTAGCTCTGGAATTGGGATGTAGAATTTCTCTGGTCTTCCTGGACTTACTTTGTAGAGCAGGCTGGCCTTGAGCTCATAAAGATCCGCCCACCTCTGCCTCCCAGAGGCTGGGATTACAGGTGTGTGCCACCACATCCAGCTTTTTCTTTTTGGTTTTTTGAGAAAGGGTTTCTCTGTGTAACAGAGCCCTGGCTGTCCTGGACTCATTTTGTAGAGTGAGCTGGCCTCAAACCTAAGAGATCTGCCTGCCTCTGCCTCTGGAGTTCTGGGATTAAAGATGTGCACCACCAGGCCCAGCTGAATTCAAAGACCTTTAACCAAACTAAATTTGAGGAAGAAACTATGGTACTAGTACATATATAGACTGCTTAAATACAGATTACCTTAAAATAATGCAATCCCCAATTCCCTACAGTGTGCTTTAGAAATATGGCTTTCTTTTAAAAATATTTTCTACTCTTAAGTATCAGATATCAGACTCTATTTTTATATTCCTTTAAAAAAAATATGTATTCATTTTATGTGAGTGTTTCCCCTGTCTATCTGTATACCATGTGCAGGCCTGGTATCCTACACTGAGGCCAGCAGAGAGCACCTGATCCCTGGGACCCAGAGCTAAGACAGATGTGACCTGCCTTGTGTGTGCTGGGAACTGAGCCTGGCTCCTCTGAAAGGGCAGCAAGTGCTCTCAACTGCTGAGCCGTCTCTCTAGCTCCCCACCCCCTAATTTTATATTCTTGAGGGAAAGAGAAAAGAAAAAAAGGTAAGTTCAGGAAGAAACATCTCAGGAGACAAATGGTTTCGTTCAATACTGAGAAGGTGAAAATTATCAGGGAAGCCTAAAAAACCCAATCCTCTATTTTAACAGGATCGAAGTTGAGTTTTCTGTTCTCTTTCTCTGAAAGCTAGAGATACTCAGTGGTTTATAGCAGAGGATCCAGGTTTGATTCTCAGCACCCATTTGGTGGCTTACGACCATCTGTAACTCTAGTTTCAGGGAATCTAATACCCTTCCAGTGTCCAGATACCAGGCATGCACTCAACACACATACATGCAAGACATATAAAACAAGTAAATCTTAAAAAAATTAAAGATAACCTTCAACATAAGCCAAAATGCCTGGTTTTGGGAGACTCACTATTATACAAAGTAGGAGTCTGCTTGGCTGTGAAATGGTCACAGGAACATACACTCATGAAAATAGCATAGGAACTAAAAAGATGGCAGAGTCCTCATGTGGCTAATACTTATTTTAGGAAAACCACTACTGAATTATCATTAACAGAAGATCAAGTACTACTTCGCAGTAAGGGTATGTGAACAAATAATAAAGAATTCTTACCCGGAGAAGCCTTCAAGCCAGTCATGTTGAACATATAGATGTTGTCATCTGTGCAGTTAGCAAACAAAGCAGAGCCAGTGGAGTCCAAGACCAAACTTGAGTACCCTGGGACAAGTTAACAGGACGTCACCGAGGTTAAAGTGTGGGGAAAAAACAGTTCATGCCATTCTGTTTCAAAATATATAGAAATCAAACTATGTTGAGATTTTGTCCTTACAACCCCCCCCCCCACACCAAATCTGCTGAAATTAGCCTGGTATTAAATTTTTTTTTCTTTTTAAAAGAATTTTATATTTCATGCCCCCAAACCCTCCAAACAAAGCCAAGGCTTACCTAGTTTTCGAGTGCTGGTACCTGGGTACAGGAAGGACTTGGATGCTATGGGTTCTTGTCGATAGGCAGTATAATTCTTTCGTAAATCCCATACCTTGATTATCCTAAAAACCAAGACAAGCATTTTATAAACTGTCCAGACCAGTGGTTCTCAACTTCCCTACTGATATGACCCTTTAATACAGTTCCTCATGTTGTGGTGATTCCCAACCATAAAATTATTTTCACTGTTACTTAACTGTCATTTTGCCACTATTATGAATTGTAATGTAAAGATCTGAAATGCAGAAGTCTTAGGTGACTCCTAGAGGGTTCCTGACCGATGGGCTGAGGACTGCCAGTCTCTCCTCTGGCACACTGTGGACATCTCCCTGGGAACTCATTTAATCACTTCATACCACTGTTTCCAGTGTCAAGATCATAGTTCATACAAACGGAAACAGGTGTGACCTGACCCAGTGGTGAGTCCCTGGCACTTACTCCAGGGCAGGGGGAAAAGGAAGATGGAGTTAGATGCTGATAGTCACTGTTCCATTGTTCTTCTAGGAAAAACACTTCCTATGCCTGTAACACTCTGCATATATCCCCTGAAACACAGGGTGCACCCCTCATGCTTTATTTCTATACATAACTCCTTAACTAAACACATTTTCCTGTGAAAGGGGGAAATGTTTTTCATTTCAACTATTGGAATAATTGTCTTAAACCTTCTACGGTGTTAGTAACCTTAAACTACACATGTATCACTTTAGAAATAGATGGAAAACTTTCAGTTATTCACAAACATAGCACTAACTCTTAGGTAACTTCCCCATTCCTGCTTGAGAACTTGGCTCACACTTAAGGATTCTAATTAATACACACAGGAAACAATAGAAATCCTAATGAGTAAGATATTGTTCAAGTTAAAAACTTGAACAGTGAATTGCATTTGGAAATGAAATAGGCAAAGAGGTACACTTTAGGAGTCCCTATACATAAACAATATTTTTTTTACAGCTTTCTGCAGAGAAAGGAACAAATGAACAGCGGCACAGACTTACTTGGCCATGAGAATTTAGACCAATCACAGACGGCATGTACATAGAGACATATAGGCTGGACTGGTAGAAGGCAAGCAAGCTGTCCAACCCACAGCAGCAAACGCTGCTCCTGTGTGCTAGAGACAGCACACGATCACCTCAATTATGTTTATTTTCCAGTGTGATCTGTAAACTTCTTTCCAGCTACAGCACCCACTATGTCTAAAGGCACATTCATATTTATTTAATGGGACTAGGTTCTAGTGCAGCTCACAAAGGCACTGAGGAAAAAGCGGAAGAAATAAAGTCTTTTACCCATCCACGGCTCCTGCTGAGACTAATGTATTCTCATCCTGAAAGAGGACCACAGTAACACTCTGCTGGGAATCCTAATAGCACAAGAAAGAAAAAAGAAGGAAATTCTGTTTTGGGAACCACAGCCTTCAGGAGTAGAGAACAAGGTACTTAAAACTCGCTTTTCTGAAGCTGCTGTGAGATTGTGTGTTCTAAAAAAATGCCAGGAAGCTTCACTGACAATACTTCAATATTGTAAGGCAGTCATATCTGTCTGCTAAATAAGACCCAAAGTATAATACCAACAGACATGCTAACACAGAAGAGGGAACTCTCACAGGGCCTTACACAACAAATTGTAAGCAATATAAGGAATGCTGAGAGCAGGAGGGTGCCCTGCACCCAGTTATCCAATACCATGCAGTCAGCCCTGAAATCATACACACTAAACAAACAGAACATGTATTTACATATTTAGACATGTATGTACGTGTGTATGCAACAATAACGAAGACAAAGAAGCCCCAATTCTGAGAGAGAAAGGGAGGGGTAAGAGGCAGGAGTAAAGGAAAGGGGGAAAAGAACGTATTTTAAAATGTAGGCAGGGCACGGTGGCATATGCTTTTAATCCTAGATGTCAGAGACAAAGGCAGGTAGATCTCTGTGAGTCCAAGGCCAGCCTGTTCTATATAATAAGTTCCAGGTCAGCTAGGACTATGCAGAGACCCTGTCTCAAATAAAGTAAAATAAAATAAAACCAACCAATCAACCAACATAACCCATACAAAAATAAAACAAAACAAAACCAAAGCAAAAACTTTCCCTACATTAGTATGATGGTTCAGTGGGTAGGGACACCTGCTGTCAAACCTGAAGAGCTGAGTTCAGTGTTTAGAATGCACATGGCAGGACAGAACTAGGCTCCCATAAGCTGTCCTCTGACCTCTCTATGCATGCCATTTGTGTATGTGTGTGCCATGGACATATATGTGAGGTCAGAGGACAACCTGCCAGCGTCAATTCTCTGCTTCCACTCTGTGGGTTCCAGGACCAACCTCAGGGCATCAGGAATAACAAAAACTTCCTTTACCCAACTGAGCCATGCTACTGGTCTCCTCAATTTTTTCCAAGTAATTCTAGATACGTTACTAAGGAAGTAGCCTTAACATTACTGGTAATATGTGAACACTATCTTAGCAAGATAGCTCAGAAGATAAAAATGCACCCATAGTGCAAGCTTGACAGCCTGAGGTTGATCACAAGAGACCAAGGTGGAGGAGAACGGCTTCTGAAAGTTGTCCTGTTTCCTACAAATGCACACCAACGTGAGCACACTTAAATAAACAGGAATAAACTCCCTACTAATGAGATGCACAGCATGGAAAGCTGACCCCTCCTGTGTCTGAGTCACCAGAAAATGCTGCTGCAATTTCAGTTCCAGGTGCAGAAAAGGCACTGGTTAGCGGAGCTTTAGCTCCTATGTGCTACCACCTCACAAGCTCTCTTGGAATCTGATGAAATTTGACATTCTGATATCATCTGGTCTCCACAGACCACTGTTTCTATTCACGTCTGTAGAGTTGGACTGAAGAATGCCACCTTCAGTCACAGCAGTTTGTGTGTGTGTGGGGGGGTCTTATAAGCTGATCTTGACTCCCCACATGCCTGAAGCTGCCCTCTCTGCTGTAAGAAACATTTGCCCACTTCCCACAAGCACAAGACCACCAGCTCCTGAGTGACTGTGAGTCACCCTCATTAGTTCACCCAAGGGAAATGGGAACATTGAGGTACCCCAAAGCACAGAGCTGCTGCTTATCCTCAAAAATTGGGGAAAAAGATCAGAGCTACACACTCCGCAGGAAGCAAGAGTGCCACGAGAGGCTAAAACAAGGCGCCACGGGCACCTGAGGGCGGGTCTGAGGTCTGTGGCTGAAGCAATACAATGTTTGCCAGCCTTGTTAGTTCTGAAGGCTCCCATTTTTCTACAAGACCAAAGAATTCCTCTCTCCTATTGAGATAAAAATTTTAAAGTGTGACGGCCTTTTCATTTTCTTCGGGTTCATTAAGCTCTGAACCCATTCTTCAAGACTGGGAAGATTTTGCAGAAAAACAAAAAAATTCAAGCTCATTTTTATTTTTTTAACTGTTGGTTTAAAGCAGTGGTTCAACCTTCCTAATGCTGTGACTCTTTAATACAGTTTCGCATGTTGAGGTGACCACAACCATAAAATTATTTTCATTGTTACTTCATAACTGTAATTTTGCTACTGTTATGAATCATAATGTAAGTAGCTGATATGCAGGATGTCTGAGATGTAACCCTCACAAGGGTCACAACCCACAGGCTTAGAACCGCTTAATGGATGTATGTGCTTTTACTCCACAGCAACTACTGTGCCCCAAAGACCAGTGCTCCTTCATCTTCTGAACATATTTCTTTTTTTTTTTTTTTCAAGACAGGGTTTCTCTGTGTAGCCTTGGCTGTCCTGGAACTCACTCTGTAGACCAGGCTGGCCTCAAACTCTAAGATCCTCCTGCCTGTCTCCTGAGTGCTGGGATTAAAGGCATGCACCATGGCCTGAATATATTTCTATCACTGAATATCACTTGCTCCTTTTCCTAAGTCCACATGACTCCGAGGTCTTGGTGTAGATCTACAGTGTGTGGGACTTAGGAGCTGGCCTGCCAATAGTGTTCCTGTTTACTAATCTTCTAGTCTTGAAGAATGTGGATACAGAGCTTAATGACTGTGAATGCCTCGATGTTACTCTAAAAAACAAGTCACAATAGAGAAAAATCCAGCACATCTAAAAATGTATTACAAATGCAATACAACTCAGCACCATGTTTACAATAAGTTGATCAAAACATCTAGATGAAAATAACTAAAGCCCCTCTCATCTTTAGATTACCTGCTTATTTTTATTAAAAATAACATGGTGCATGTTTCAAAGCATTAAAAAAATTGTACGGTGCTGGAGAGGGGGCTCAGAGGTTAAGAGTACTGTCTGCTCTTAGAGGTCCTGAGTTAAATTTCCAGCAACCACATGACTCACAACCATCTATAATGGGAACTACTGCCCTCTTCTGGTATGAATGCATACACGCAGGCAGAACGCTGTATACATAATAAATAAATTTTTAAAAATGTACATCTTTTCTATAGCTACCATGAAGCTAAGGATTCCTTTCCCATAAGCAAAACTGTCACTTGGAGTTCAACATGCTTCTTCAAAGTGCTTAGAAATTGTTATGGATGATGCTCAGAGGCTGAATCTTTGCCATGTTCCCTATGCAACCCACTGGAGTCTGAGGACCCCTGCAACGGTATCAAATAAGCTATAAACAATCAATACCAAAGACATCAAGAGTTGCATCCATCTCTATGGCCAACAAAGTCCTCAGCAGACTCGATTCTCTCCTACTGCTGACACCCACCAACGCCAGGTAGAGTGGAACATGCCTGCAGCCTCAACAGTAGAAACAACATGTATGCCAGGCCAGCCGAAGCTTGCGGAGAGCTAGGTCAAAAACAAGCAAACACAACAACACAACCCTATTCACATTTGTACTTCTCTAAAGCCTTACCACAGAAGGAGCGAGTCCTCTTGAATTTTGTTTCTTCTTAGGTTTTGAAGGTGTTTGCTTGTCTGCAGTATTGTGAGCTCCACTGATTTGATTCACCTGTCTGTAAAATCCATCTGCAAAGTTCCAAGGAAACTGGTTTTAGTGTTTCCAGATTTCAAGCTGAACGTAACATTTAAACATTTGTACATAGGACCTCAAAATTATGTGACTTGACTAACTAGTAAAAGATAAGTTATTACAAACAAACACCCAAATGGAGGACTCAGTAGTTAAAGGTGCTTTTTGCCAAGCCTGATGACCTGAGTTCGATTATCCTGACTCACATGTTCAAGTAAGAATGGATGCCGGTAAGTTGTCCTCTGATATTCACATGTGTGCTGTGGCATGTGAATACAATGAATAAAAAAATAAAATAACAATAGAAACCCCTCAAGAACCAGTTTATCTCCCATGGTGAACTCTTAACATTCAAAAAGAAAGAAATACAGATACATTTCTATAGTAGTTTTATTCATAATGGCTAGAACTTGGAAGCAACCAAGGTACCCTTCAAGAGGTGAATGGATACAATGTGGTATATTTTGACAACAGAATATTATTCTGTGCTAAAAAGAAATGAGTTAGGAGATGACTCCAATTATGAAAATTTGGAAAGCCACAGAGGCAGTTAAAAAAAAAAAAAAAAAAAAAAAGTGGTGGCAAGGCTTAATGAGGAAGCAGATAGGAGCCCCAGAGCAGACATATTTTAGTGCAATGAAACTGCTCTATGTCTTACAATGGCAGACATAGCATCTATTTGTCAATATCCATTGCATGTGTAACATGAAGAAGAAACCCTAATGGGAATTATGGACTTGAATAACCAGTGTCAACGAACACTTGCCACGTTGGTGCTGAGAAATGCACCAACGGAATGTCGGGTGCTGCTGGGAGGCTGTGTGCGTAGGTGGTGAGCACACATGCAACTCTGCTCTCTAATGTGGCTAGGAAACTAAAAGTGCTCCACAAACTAGTTTAATATTTTAAAATCAATACATAAATTAGTGGTTAAAAAAAAAAAAAATCAATGACCACCTGCCTTAATAGCACCACGGTGAAATACAATTTATCTGATTCTTTAAAAGACAGTATTTGTGTTTTCAGTGTGAAGGGAGAGGGAGGAATATGTATCCTATGGTGCCAGAGCACAGAGGTCAGAGGACAACGTAAGGGAGCTTGCTCTCTCCACGCTCCTTTATTTGATGAGCCATCTTGCCAGCCCCAAGAAAGAAAAATTAATAAAACAATACCTAAGGCAAACTTCTATTCAGTGAACCTATGCATTAGTAGTTTAGTTCTATCAATAATTTATGTAAATAAAATATTTCAGAGATATGAGATTAAAAACATGAATTAATAGCTTTGTAATAATCATTACCTTGAGAATTGAGCAATGTGCAAAAATGTAGGATTGTGGACACAAGTGCCCCCTGCTGGTATCATATGAAATCACAAATATTTTCACTTTATTTTTAGTATCTTATTTTATTAAGCATAGGGTGATCTCACTTTATTAGCTAGCTTACCTTTTTTGTTACACCTGGTGTCCCAGATCATGATGTTGCCATCTCGCCCACCTGTACAAAATACAGCTGTGGGAAGTTAATCAAAATGTTAGCAAAACTAGTCAAAGACACATCTCCATTTAAACTTCCCAGAGAACGCATTCCCTGAGAGCACTCAATTTGACAGTAGAAATTATGGTAATAAAATGATAACCAGGCAATTGTTAACACACAGAAGAGCTTACCATCTTAAGTAACATATACTATTCTACATGCTTTTACACATCCTCTCAAAATTTCCTGTCAGTCTAGTAGGCAAGCTCCACTCTTCCTGTTTTACAGTTGAGAAACGGGCAGAGAAAAGGTAAGTAGCAGGTAAAAGCTCTATCTCTGAGCACGGAGGAGGGTACTGGGATTGAGGGGAACACAGACCTGCCGCTTACTTGTAATGTTATTTTTAGGTAAACGTGAAAGTGGGTATATAGCCTCCGTGGCACAGCACTCACCCAGTGCACAAAAGGGCACTGCAAAATACGCACATCTTAAAAAAAAATCTAAAAAAATTCTGCTTCCTATATGGAAGAGCGAGCAATTAACAAATTGATTCAACTATAATAGTTATAGCACCAAACAACTACGTGAAAGCTTTGTGGATACTGAATAAAAACACAATTTTGTAGGAGCCAACAACTAAATCAAGAGATTAGACTGCAGCAAACGAGTCACAAGGTGACTAAATGAATAGAAAAACCTGTCACCTTCCTTTTGAGACAGAGAAAGCTTGGGGTGGAGAGGAGCTGTGTGAGCAGAAGAGCTAGAGAGAACCTTCGGATGACACTGACTGGGGTTAGTTAACATAGTGACTTGATAGAGCCACTGTCCTGTATTAATTATTGCACAGCTCTGAGTAAACTAAACACTGTTTGAACGTTTACCCCCTGTGCACCAGCCAGGTAACGACATTTAAAAGGCAAAGACAGAAACAAATATGGCACTGTGTCTCCCTACCATTAAGGAGAGAAAGTGCCGTGAACTCCAACCTACCTTTTTGGAACTTGGAAAAAGCTACGGACTTGAGGCTGCACTGGTGGCCTTTGCACGTTCCCATCAGCTCACCAGCTTTTACATCCCAAAATCTGGCTGTTTGATCACCTGCTGCTGTAACCTTCCAAGAATAACACAGTAAGATTTAAGAAAGAAGCCTGTATAAGCATCGACCCAGACCTAATAACATGGAAGCCACTTACGAGTTTAAGTTCACCAGGGACCCAGGCCAGGTCAAAGACAGCATTCCAATGTGCCATCCACTCTAAACAAAGAAAACGTAAATGTGACACATCTAGACTGTGTTCCACAACAGCCATACCAGTACACGTTTAAACACCTTGTGTGGTGGTTTGAATAGGAATGGGCCCATAGATTCATGTGTGTGAGTGCTTGTCCCATAGGGAAACGCACTATTAGGAGGCGTGGCCTTGTTGGAGGAAGTGCATCACTGGAGGCAGCTTTACGGTCTCCTCCTGCAGACCGAGATGTAGAACTCAGGCCCTCCAGCACCGTGTCTGCCTGCAGGCCACCATGCTTCCCATCAGGATGACAATGGACTAAGCCCCTGAAACGGCAGCCAGCCAGTTAAATGCTGTCCTTTGTAAGAGTTGCCGTGGTCATGGTGTCTTCACAACAGTACCCCTAAGACACCTGGGAAGTTTTAATTTAAGACAATGGCTAGTACACTACTGTCAGCACACCAAAGAGCATTTTGGTGTCACAGAGATCACACATTTCCACAACATGTGACAGCTACCATCTAAAGTCAAACGAGGGTTGGAGAGATGGCTCAGTGGGTAAAGCACTTGCTGCCTAAGCAAGAGGACCTGGGTGCACATGCCCAACACCCAAACAAATACAAGTCTAACAAAGTAAATACAAATTCACGGAGATCTTGTCTCAAAAAGCAAGGAAGAGCAAGATTCAGGAAGACACCTGAATCTGGCCCCACACTGATGTACAGTTGTGCACATGAATAAATGATGAATAAAATGATATTCTGATATCAGAAGTAGTCTCTAAAATAGGATCTTCTCAAAACATTCTCAGTCAACAACCTTCCCAAGGTCCTAACAAGGAGACAGCGTCAGGCTGACTTTGGTTTGTCACACTCAAGGTCCCGCATGCTTTGAGCCCTATTCTGAGGAGGAGCTCATCTCTCACGCTACTCACATGATTTGTATCTTATTCCAACCAAGATAATGCCATGCCATCTGCTCACTATATTTGTATTAAGAATGATTTGCCAAAGGCTTTCTGAATTAAAAATGTTAAAAATGATGGACTTACCCTTGAAACATGTCTTTTTGCTGGTTTGTGACTCTGTATTATATAGCCTGACAAAGCCTTCTTCATTAGCAACTGCTAATATGTGCTCCATGCCAGGAGCTGAGGAGACACAAAGAAAACACGAGGACTTTCCAAATGAACACAAAGTATTAGGTGGCTCAAAACAGCACTACAGAGATGGCTCAGAGGTCAAGAAGATTCGTTGTTCTTAAAGAGGACTAGGGTCTGGGGTTTAATTCCCAGTACCCATATAGCAGCTCACAATTGTCTGTAACTCCTTGGAAACTGGTCTCTGTGGCACACAGACATACACACAAGCAAAACACCCACATACACATAAAATAAAAATAAAACTTAAAAAAATTGACTCAAAACCATTAAAATAGTCTTCAGATACTCTGAGTTGACTAAATCAAGAGTTGTACTGGCCAATGGTGAATAAAAGCATGATACAGACAACAGCTGGAACCTACTGGTTTTAAACCTCCCTTTTACAATCTTTCTTCAATTAAACTATAAGACTGGAACCAAGAACTTCTAGTTTTATTCACATTTTAAAAATATATTATTATAATTATTTGCTTTTTGAGACAGTGTTTCTCTGTGCAGTTCTGGCTGTCCTGGACTCACTTTGTAGATGAGGCTGGCCTTGAACTCCACCTGCCTCTGTGAGTGCTGGGATTACAGGCGTGTGCCACCACACCTGGCTTCCATTCACATTTTTAAGATGATTGCTAAAAAACTTGGTTTTAAAAATATATATCTTATAAATCATGAGAACAGTTACGAGAATAATCTTAACATCTACCTAAGTTACTTTTCTTTCAATGTGTATTTTCCCTCTAAGTAGGAAATAAAGTTCTGCTCAAGCTTAGTGTAGACAGTCCTTTTCTTACCAGTACAGAAGGTGCATCCGAAAGGAGGAACAGGAACTCCCGTTTCTCCGTAAGATGTGTGTTCATCATTACAGCTGCACTGATAACCACTCAGAAGGGATTGCAGTGGGTAATGTGAAGACCACCCTAAAACAAGACAATTCCTTTAGGAGTTAAAATGTGGCATCATGCTTTAGCATTTCCCACAAATCTACAAATAGATATCTTTAGTTTTGTTGTTTGTCTTTCGAGGCATGGAAGTTGCAATGATCCTGCGTCTGCCTCCCAGTGATGGGGATGAAAGTTATGATTTACCATTCCTAGCTAAATGTTTGTTCGTATAGAACTTTACATATGGCTCTCCAGAATACAATGTTGGTATTTACTTTTGAGACAGGAGTTCCCTGGCTGTCCTGGAACTCACTCTGTACACCAGGCTGCTCTCCAACTTGGAGAGCCTCTTGCTGTGATTAAAGACATTTGCCACCATTGCCCAGACATTTCTATTATTTTCTTAAGCGATTCTAAGAAAGAAATCAAAACATTCCCAATTCTGAGGCCATTTAGGCTATACCATATATATGTTTTTTTGAGACAGAATCTCATCGTGTACAGCTCTGGCTGTCCTGGGACTCATTCTGTAGACCAGGCTACCCGTGGCCTGAACTCAGATCTGTCTACCTCTAACTCCCAAGTGCTGGGAGTAAAGGCGTGTGCTACCATAGCAGCTGTGTCTTAGCGCCTCAAACGTGGAAGGTCTAGTGTATCACGATTGGCACCAGCGCCCTTGTACACTACAGAGATCTGATTCTTCTAGCACAGAAACAGTCACTTAAGCATGACCAATTAAACTGTCACTCCCTTCCACTAAACGTTTGTTTTGGGAGTCTCTATTGAGAAACTCTCAAGTCAATAGAAATCATTACATCCAATCAGGCCACGTTTGGTGGCACGCGCCTGTAATGCCAGCACTTGGGAGGCAGACACAGGTGGATCTCTCTGATTTTGAGGCCAGCCTGGTCTACAGAACAAGTTTCAGTACAGCTAGGGCTTCACAGAGAGACCTTGTCTGGAAAAACAAAACAGAATATACTATCAGCATTCAAAGGGTTATCGTATCAACCTGCCTATTGTAGGTCAATACAGACATAAATTTAACAGTTTAACTTCTCTTCTCCTAAGGGGGCTGAAATGCTAGGATCCTAAAATTCTAAGAACCCTGTCAAAGTATCTTAACATATATGAGAATGACTTAAGAGTGGTATGTTCCTGTCTCTAAGACATGAGGTCAAAGCTTGGTGAGGCAGAGGCAAGTAGATCTCTGAGTTCAGCATCTAGGACAGCGAAGGCTATACAGAGAAATGTTGTCAAAAAGTCAGAGAGGCTTGGAGAACAACTTAAAGTACATTTTTGTTTGTCTCATAAAGTAACCTTCTAATATACATCATGGTCCCAAATTGTAAGTTATCATCCAAAATCTGGTTTGTATTAACATGTAGGTTAGTTCATTTTAAATAGATAAAGGTTGAATACTCTTATCCAAAATACCTGAGGCCAAGAAATGTTTCAGATTTGCATAGATTTTACTGGATGGGCATCCTGAAGCTTCTGAACATATTAGCACTCAAAAACTATCTGATTTTTTTGATTAACATGCTCAGCTTCAGTACAAAAAACATTCAGTCAACAAGTAAATGCTAAGGATGGGATGAAGTAATGAGCTAACAAGTTGAGAGCCCTGCAAATGTTCAACTCACATCTGATTCTCCTATTCTACCAATTCTCATAGTTTTGTTTATTTAAGAATCTGTAACAGACACCCAAAAGTTTGTATCTCTTGAGACAACGGAAGGTATTAGATGGGGACAGGAGAATGCCTTCCTTTTGCAAAGTAGAAGAAAGGAAGTGGACAGAGGAGACACTTTAGCCCAACAGAACCTCCAGAAAATCTAGTTTGAGAAGGAATGAGAATAAAGGAGAAAAGGAACTTAATCTTGATTTAATAATTGCTCTTGGGAACATTGCTCCATAATTTCAATATTAAGCGTCACTAGAAGTAAACTGCGAACACCACTAAAAGATTGTTAGGTTCACAAATACCCATCTAAAAAAACTTGAAAACTAAAGGCTGCATATATTAAGATGTAAATGTACATGTACGATGTGCGATTTTTAACACACTAATTATAACAGACAAATTCAAAGAGGAATCAAATAAGTAAAATTGAAGCTACAATGCGATCTGAAAATTTTCACAATTAAGCTAGTTCCTCAACTCCGCCTCAGTACTTCTCCTGCAACTAATATTTGATATTACTGTGTAAAGTGACTTATTGAACAATCCCTCCATACTCCACCATTTCTGCAGCTCCCCACAACACGTGTGGATTTTCATCATGCTACACAGACCTGTAGTGTTCCCCAGCCCCCAAGACTCATCAGGAAAAATCCCATTCTTTCGTCAGTAGATAGCTGAAGGCCTGTACTCACAAACACACAAGGCTCCGTGTTTTCAGAGAATCAGCATCTCAACATTCAACAACTTCCACACATTGTTTTTTCCAAAGCGTTTTGTCTGAGAAGGCTTTCCTATCACCATCACTTCCTTTCTACTTCTACAAAAGGAAGGAATTCTCGAATGCCTGTCTTACACCCTGCATTGTTGCAAGATAAACCTGTGTCTATTACATATTTTTAAATAAATATAAAAAAAATTAGTGAAGTCCTAACTATGAGACAATTGAAACCATTAGGCACCATATATACCTAAATCCATTTCTTTAAAAGATGCATTTTCAATAAAAATTTTGCTTTTTCTTAAAACATTAACTTCAGGATTCACAGGTATTAAAACCACAGAAAACAGCCCTTTACATGTTTTTTTGATGAGGGCATGACAGGGTGATAAGAACTTTTCAAGGATACATTAAATTATAATAGCATAAATTTGGGGAAGAAGATAGAAATAAATTCAAAAGAAAAGGCAACCATGAAAAAAAAAACAACAAAACAACACAATACTTACAGCGTTTACTCACATTTTAAAAAGCAGAGACCCTGACTACCAAGTTGTTATAGTGTCAGATGTATTTAAAAGGTTATGATAGCATTTTTAATCTTAAGATGCTAACAGTCACAATAAGGCTAAAGATTATAGATTTTCATGTTTAAGCATATTCTAAAAACCTTTAGGTACGAATTCAAAAATTCACAAAAGAACCATTATATTTATGTTTTTCAAACTTCAGTGGAGAAAGAAAACTAAAAGCCACTTTGGAAGCTTGTTACAAGCCAGGAGTAAAGTACCAGGTTCCAGTGGAGGGAACAGATTCAGTGTGTGGAGGAGCTCATCAGTGGGGATGAAGACATAGATGCAAGCTTTCAGGACCTGCTGATCATGTAATAACAAGGAACATGGAATTTTTGGGTGACTCCCAGGCTTTGGCTGGGCATCTAAGTTTAAGAGTTTGCGGCTTGAGAATGTAAGATGCCTGACAATCTGAGTATCAACCCCACAGCTTTTACAGAAATTAAGGCTGGAGGCAGCAGGGGAACCCTCAGGTATGGCTACAGTCATCTACAGGAGTGGGCTCAGGTGACCAAGGGTGGCACACAACACTGGAGGAAAAAGGAGATGCAGATTTCAGAAGGGAAAACGTGAATTCCTGTGCCTACAAACAGCAAAGTGGACAGACAGACAGAAACTGTGTCACACAGTAAGTCTGAATAGCCTTCCTTGGTTACATAAAAAAAGGCGGACTTGAAATTCAGGTGCTGTAACTCCAAAGACGGCTTACAACCTCACAATGCGCATGGCGGCCATTCCTAACAGGGGAAGAAGTTTCTTGGGTCAAGTTCCAGCAGAGAAAGAAAGAGGCAGAGCGTGACTGTAAGAGTTCCCATGAAGAAAGCACGGATACAAAGTTTTAGAAGGCAGCAGGACGCTAAGGGGTTTTCGTCTAGCCAACATTGTTTCCTCAGGCCTACTCTTCAAAGATTTAGCTTAAGGACACACAACGAGCTAGCTTTCTCTATGCTATAACGAGAATATGGCCGAATTCCACCGTGAAGCGAAAAAAAGTTAATCCCCTTTCTGGATATTCCGCGGGCATCAAAGAGCATCTGGAACAATACCCTTCCATGCCCTACCCGTGGTCACCTCGTGGGAGTGGCTACGGGCATCCTTCAGTGTGTAACTTAAACTTTTCGGACCCCGGAGATGGGGGAGGGGGGCTGGCGCTGTGAAGGCAGAAGCAGCGTCCCCGCGCCCGACCGCGCTTCTCCACTGCGGGCCGCGCGCTGGCGCGTAACCGCAAACTTGCAGGGATCGCTGCAGCTCTGCAAGGGCCGCGGGCGCTGGCCCCCGGGCATCGCCCACCCGCGGCCACACGAGCACGCGCGACACTGACGTAAGCAGCGGGGGTCGGGGACGCCAGGCCGCTCAACGTGCCCACTTCGGCCTCCGCTGCGACCCGAAGGGCTCGGCCAAGGCGGGCAGCGCCCAGAGGGAGCCGCAGCGCCGTCTTCCTCGGCGGCCCTCGCTCCCGAGGACTCTCCCTGGCCGCGGGGGCCCTCGAGGCCCGGAGTCGGCAGCGGTCCAAGGCGGCGCGCCGGGGGGGAGGTGGTTCCCGCCGCGGCGAGCGGGCGCCGTTGGGACCGTTACTCACCGCTCCGCAGGACGCCGAGCTGGGGCTGGCGGAGCACCGAGTGGAAGAGCATCTGGGCCCGAGGAGAAGGCTCCGCCGAGGGAAACGCCGAGAAGATCGCCCCCGAGCTGCTCAGGAGCCGCGCTCCACGCCCTCCGCCAGGCGACCCGCTTTCGCCTCCAACTCCCGCCACTGGAAGCCCCGGTCGCCAAACTCCGCGCCAAACTGACGTCACGCCCTCTGATTGGCTCTCGCCGCAGCGTCCCGGCGCCGCGAAGGCGCCTCCCCCGCCCAGGCCCCGCCCCCTCCTCGCTCTGCCGCGGGAACCCAGGGCTCGGGAGCTCCCTGAGCGCCTGCGCGGGGGCCCCCCTGAGGCGCCCGCGAACCGCGGGGCGGCTGGGGCGCATGCGTGCACGGCCTGACAGCGCGCGGAGGGAAAAATCCGCGAGACCGCGGCGGGGGAAGATGGCGGTGCTGGGCCAGAGTTCGCAGTCTTTGTGACCAGGCGAGGCCAGCCACTGTTGGGGTCATGGCGTCAAACTCCGCCAAGTCTTTCCTGGCCGATGCCGGCTACGGCGAGCAGGAGCTGGACGCTAACTCCGCTCTTATGGAGCTGGACAAAGGTACTGGACGGAGGCGAGCGGGCGAAGCGCCTGCGGGAAGTGGCGCCGCCTGGAGGCAGCGGCCGGAGCCTGGAAGGGCGCATGCGCCGACGTGCGGGCGGGAAGCGCCGCTGCCGGCCTGGGACTCGGCGCTGGCAGCGCCGCGGGAGTGGCCCTGCATGGCTGTAGCTGAGGCCCGCGCTAGCGAGGACGCCTTTGACCACCTGGGGGCACTGTCTCCCGAGTTCGCAAACTGTGGATGGGAGAAGTCCTAAAAATACCGAGTTCTGACATGTTCAGTGGAGATGAGCCAAACGGTTCTGTGAGCGTTGTATACCTGTTTGTCTTCTGTGACTGCTGGTGCCAGTTCCGTGTGGCTGCAGACAAGTTCCACGAGTTAGCTTCCCTGGCACAGGAAGCTAAGAGATTTTGGGTCAGGAATTGAATCCCATTTCTGCTGGCGTGATTATGGAAGGCGACGTTGTCTAGCCTCGGTTTGTCTGCAAAGTGCGCATAGTACCCCTGAGCTGGCAGCACTGTTCCAAATATTAAATGGCAGTGGTGTGCAAAAGATGCGTTTATTAAATGCGGAAGGAGTACTTCGTTACTTCTAGACGTGCGTAAGGAAGGCAAGGATACATAGTTAGGCATGAAGAACTCAGGTGTTATTGTGAAACCTTTGTTCCGACTCGCTTCAAAGATTTTTACAGCTGGCCTATACTTCCTGGTAACTGTAGCCAGAGTGTAACCTGTGGAGAGCTGGAAGGGTCTACTCTCAAGTTCGCTTTAGTCCCTTTGACTTGAACATGTCTGTTGAGCCGTTAGGGACTTTGAAGCAAATAGTGAACGTTTGTATGGGGTTGCTGTGGGTAGGAGTTTCTCACGTTTTACAACAGGGTCTCATGAAGTCCAGGTTGGCCCAGAACTCCCTAAAGCCAAGGATGATTTTCAACGGTTTGTTTTGGTTTGTTTTTTCGAGACAGGGTGTTTCTGTGTAGCCCTGTTCTGGAACTCACTCTGTAGACCAGGCTGACCTCGAACTCAGAGATCTGCCTGCCTCTGTCTCCCTTGGAGGTGTGTGCCTGGCTCAATTCCATACATCCCCGTGAAAAAGATCTCTTTTGACTGCCCGTGTCCACACGAATGTAACTGGTGGTAGGGTGAGGACATTACTCCATAGCCCTTCTGAGAGAATGGCCTCAGCCACTTGTATGTGCCAGGTGACAGACTCCATGTCATAACTGCTGGTTTTAAGAGTAGACATGTGGGCCAGGCCATATGGAGTCAGATTCTTCTTCTTGAGAATGTTTATTACCAGACTAATTTAGTCTGCCAGCATTGATAAGTGAACCTTCAAGTTATGTAGAACTGGGGCAAAGGCTAGCTCACCACATTGAGGCTGAATGAGGGAGCATGGACTTCGCAGTGGCTGGAGACCACTGATGGACCAAGTCAGATACACTAACCAGAAATCCGCTTCCTGAAACCACAACCTCACATTTATGTATGACTGTCGTTCTTATAATTTACAGAGGAAATTGTGACATATCTCAGAGTTTTGTTCTAAACCAGTATTTTCTCATATGCATTCTGCGATACTATATTTCAGCATGTTCATTTGAAATGGTTTCTGAAATTTTGGGAAAGGATATTATGTCCTAAATTGACTGCTTCCTAAATACAATGTGAATGTGTGGTTGTCTGTTTATTAAGCTGTGGATTGTGGATTGCCTTCTGGTGTGTACTTGTATTGGTTTAGTTCTTTGGTGCTGAGGTCTGAGCAAAGGGTCTTGTTCCTGATGTGCTGCTGCCCTGCTGGATTCTAGTCCTGTGTGGTGTGTCCTAGTTGTATCCTAGCCCTGTGTGGTGGCCAATCCGAGCCCCTTCTCGTAGAAGCGGAAGCAAAAACTCTGTAGCTTGTCTTTCAAGAACTGCATCAGAGTTGATAGCCCCGCCAGTCAGATGCATGCTTTGATTCAGCAGCTGGAATGGCAGAGAAGGTCCAGGAGTGCTCATGGTTCCTGTGGTATTAGTGGTGCCAGCGGCATTGGTCCTAAGTGACAGAGCTCACCGTAGCGCCTCTTGCTTCTTAGCAACAGCAGTTATCCTCATCTAACCAGTTTGGCAGTCTAGTGTTAGGTATTCTTAGAAGCTTGGCAGCCTTGACTGGCAGGTGTGGTGACTCACCTGTACACAGGGCCTGGGGCAGAGCAGGAGAGTCACTCCAGGTTGATCTCGTATTTAGTGAGTTTGAGGGCAGCCAGGTCTGCAGAGTGACAGAACAGTGCTGAAAAGCAAGACTGTTTCAACAATCAAACAAAACCCAAGAAGTTCAGTCTTAAAAATGTTGAAGAGATTAACTACACAGTCAACACCATAACCTTTGCTGATTTCAGCTAAGAAATTCCAACGCTTGTTTTGAAAACAGTTTATGGGGCTGGAGAGATGGCTTAGCAGTTAACACTGGCTGTTCCTTCAGAGAACCCTGGTTTAGTCCCCAGCATTGTTTGGCGGTTCACAGCCTTTACCCGATGCCTTCTTGTGGCCACTGCAGGCACATGGCACACATGTATACAAGTAGGCAGAACACCAAAGCCCACCCCAGTGGCACCATTCCTCCAGCAAGGCCACACCTCCTCCAGCAAGGCCACACCTCCTAATCCTTTCCAAACAGCGCCATCAACTAGGGACCAAAGATTTGAACACTCATTTTCAAACCACCACAGTTGTTAGATTATATCGGATTGTTGATTGGAGTCTCTTCTTTTCCTAATATGAGTATTTGATACTGTAAATGTTTCTTGAGATACTATATTAGCCATGACCCACAAATTATATTGTCATTTTCTTCAACTAAAAATAAATTATCTTATTTTCCTTCTGATTTCTTCTTTCCCCTGTGGGTTACTTAGCAGAAAATTCATTACCAAATACTTGGAAGGTTTCTTAGCATTCTTCTCTTACTGATGGCTAATCAATTCCATTGTGACAGAGAGCATAACGTGTATGCTTGCTCTAGTTTATTTTTGCAGTAACAAGGGTAGACGGGGGCCTTGAGAGGGCCAGCCTGGCGCTCTGCCATTGACCGCAGCCCCAGTCTGTTCTTCCCGGCTACCTTTGAGGCTTTACGAACTTGATCAAGCTGCCCTGTACATGCCGTGTAGCCGGGGTAGCCTCGCACTGTGATCCCCTTGCCTCAGCCTGACTATCAGGACCGTAGGCTCGTGCCACCAAGCCTATCTGACTTCAGTTCCTTAAAGTTCACCGATGGTTTATATTCCTGAATAGTTTAATCAACTTCAGCAGTTTAGAAAGTGTTTCTTTTCCATTACTGTGTGTCTGAGAGAATCTGTTTAGGAGCTGGCGAGATGGCGCAGAGTTAAAAGCACTCGCTGCTCTGCCAGAGGACCCAAGTTGGAAGGCTCACGGCAGCTGTAACTCCGGGGACTCACCTTCTGGCAGCCACTCAACTGCACACCTGAGATAAAAGCTTTAAAAAAGTGTTAGCTTATGAAATTACTAAGGTATTTACTTATTTGTTTGGGGCCCATTTTGATTTGCTTTTGAGGTAGTTTTATATTATGGCAATTATTTGTGTTTTGCGATACCCTTAAGTACCCAGACTGGCCCCCAGCTTGCTTGTAGCTGAGGATGGCCTTGAACTGACTCTCTGCCTCTGCTTCTCATGCGGCGTGATTACAGTGCTACGGTACCCACCTGCCAAGTAACTACTATAGATGCGTCTTTATTTATTTTAATTATCAACTGCTTTATTTTGTTTAAATTACAATCTTCCTGCCTGGCCTCCTGTGGTTGGGGTTCTGGGCATGTGCCATCTTCCCAGCCTTCCATTTTCAGTTTTGAACAGGAGTGTAGACGTAACTGCTGTCCTGCTGTGTGATAAGTCAGTATTCAATGGTTCTGCCTGGGGCTACAAGTCTGTAATTAGCTCCTGTGCTTTTTCAATAGGTCTGCGCTCTGGCAAACTTGGGGAACAGTGTGAAGCTGTTGTACGATTTCCCAGGCTTTTCCAGAAGTACCCGTTTCCCATTCTCATCAATTCAGCATTCCTAAAGTTAGCGGATGTTTTCAGGGTTGGGTAAGTGCTCCTAATGCCTCAGTGTCCTTTGGGGCATGCTGCTTGTGTTTCTGTTTTGTATTTGGCTTTTCTTCTAGGCCATTAGTACTTTTTGCCACTTAGTTACTCTCCATGGATGCATATTGCTTTGCACTGCACTTTGGTATGAGAATTAATAACATTTTTAGCAAAAATGAAAAGTAAAATTCAGAGAGTACTTATTTCTTTAGGGAACAAGATAAATTAAGTCAGAACAACCTTATTCTACTTCTGTATATGTATTTTGTAAAACTAGTTTTTTACAGATTGTTTTATGAAATTTCCTGACTTGTAACTTGAGGTACACATGTGTGCAGGTTTTGAAACACGTAAGCTTTGAATAAATGCCCGTTTCCTCATTTCTCTCCTCGCTCTTAGCTCTCCTGCTTCTTTCTCCTATTTTCTATTCATGCCTGTCAGGTGAAGGAGGATCGCCTGACGCCCCCTGGCCGTGTTGTGATTGCAGAGGTCAGGTCTGTTCTGGGGATGATGCTCTGGCGTAGGGCATCTTGCAGCAGGGCTGCAGCAGGGCTACAGCTGTGACAATGGCTTTTGTTCAAGATCTCCCACATGCAGAGCTTAGTGGCGCTTCCGAAACATTGGCTGATAGGAGTTCTCTGACCCCAGGTTACAAAACATACTCCTTTCCTAGACTGAGCTAATTTCTCTCTCTCTCTGTCTTTAATTAGAAACAACTTCCTGAGGCTGTGTGTTCTCAAAGTGACTCAGCAGAGTGAAAAGCACCTGGAGAAGATTCTGAACGTGGACGAGTTTGTGAAAAGGGTGTTCTCAGTGATCCATAGTAACGACCCTGTGGCGAGAGCCATCACCCTCCGGTACTGTGTCGCTAGGACTCGCGTAGATGGTTAAGCTGGCATGATGTAGCTAACAGGACTTGTTTCTCACTAAGACTGCAAAAATATGGTAACCGTCCTCGTCTGTAAATCAAGTTAACATCTGTGGTGCTGTTTGGTTTGTGAGTTGCTTTGCTTGTGTTTCAAGCATCCCATTATGTCGAAGCTCCAGTCTCAGAACTGGGTGGATTTCAGTACAGGATAGCCTTGAACTTGTGAAGTTCCCTATGTCAGCTTTGAACATGAGAGTGCTATGTTAGCCTCCCGAGCAGCTGAGAGTCCATGTCTTGGCATCGTGCTTGGCTCCATTCTCTTTCACCTTTGCTTGTATAACTAGGGGGAAATTTTGAGACTCAGTTAATTAAATTATTGTTCTTCGTTGTGGCTTTTCCTGCCCACATAGTTCTCTTTTTAACCAGAAGGTGCAAAAAATCACTACTTCCCCGAGTTTTCTTTTTTTCAGGGTCAAGCGTCAGTTCAGAATTAGTTGCTTTGTTATTCTCCTGCCTTTTGATTAAGTTAAATGTCATAAGATATTTTAAAGCCAGTTCTTGGTGCTGGGGATGCCGCTGATTTCTTAAAAGTGCTTGTGGCCCCAGCACCACTGAAGCTCTGGGTTCAGTTCCCAACACTTCATGAAACTAGGTATGGTGTGCACACCTGTAATCCCAGCACTTCGGAAGTTAGGGGAGGAGATTTAGAGGTTCAGGGTAATTTTGCCTACACAGTAAGTTTAAGACCAGCTTGAGCTATATGAGACACAAAAAATGTTATTGAGTGTTACCTTCTAAAAACTATCCAGCCTAGCATACTTGAGACAGTAGGTTCAATTCCCAAGACACACAGAGACACACACACACACAGAGAAAAGGGCTGGGAGGGCAGAGACTATAACCAATGGGAAATTTAACATTAAGACATGAAGTCTTAGCACTGGGGAGGCAGAGGCAGAGGCAGGAGGATATCTGAGTTTGAGGACAACCTTATCTATATAGCAAGCTGCAGGCTAGAGAAACCCTGTCCTTCAAAAAAAAAAAAAAAGGTTGTTATATATGAATGATTGAGACCTTTTTCTAGAATGGAAAGTTGAGGAAGATTGCATCTCAGTCAGATAGTTGATTGATAGAAAGCAAGATACGCTAATATTAACACAGAAAATGAGAGTCAAAAAGATTTTGATGTGTTCATGATTGTATGTGTACGTGTACCACATGCACGCCTGGCCCTTGCAGGCCAGAAGAGAGTATCCAGTTTGAATATTTTGACAACATTTTTGAGTGTTCCACTCCATGTGAAGTTTGTATCACTGAGTTCCAGCAGTCGGGCCCATACTAACTGTTGCTGCCAATATAATTGGCAGTTTCTAGTAAGTTTTGAAAGAGATATATTTAAAGACAGAATTTTGCCTTGTCTTCAATAGTAACACTGGAAACAGGAAGTGTTAGAGTAGGTATAAAGGTGACCAGCAGGTTGTGTCTTGTGGCACATGTTGACCTCATGTGGTGCACTTGGCCTATGCTGATCCTTCCTGGTAGGGCATTAGATTAATAGTAATGCTTTGTTTCTTGTAAGAAACAGTCAGTTTCAACTGATTCTTTTGAAATTTAATACAAATTAAAGCAACCTAGTTTATGGTGTTTGTTCAGATTACTGTCTCACTGCATAGGCTTGTGGCCTGCGTTCAGCTCTTAGCGATCCTGCCTCTGCCTTCACAGTGCCGGGATAAAGGCCTGCATTACCATGCCTGGCCATCTGACTTGCTTGTGAGGAAGTCAACTGCTTTTGTGCAGGAATTTCATCTCTGTAAAGTGTCAAGGTGAGGATGTGTCAAGGTAGAGGTCGCTACCAAGGATGCTGATATCACTCTGGGAACAGGATGGGTGTGTTTCGGTGGCCTGCTGCTTTCTGCACAAAGGGTTTCTGAAGCTCTCTGTGGTTTTGTTTAAACAACATTTATTTTTACTTTTCTAAATGTTTTACATTTTGTAATTTGGTTTTTACGTTTTTTTTATTGTATGTGTTTGCAGAAGACAGACTTGGGGATTTAGTTCTTTTCTTCCACTGTGTGGGTCCCAAAGACTGCACTCAGGTTGGAGGCTTGTGGCAGGTACCCCACTGAGCTGTGTCTCTAGCCCATTCATTTTCTAGGCTTTACTTTCCTCGCTGTTGCAGACACTGGCATGAGCTGCAGGGGGCACCCTTCACCTCCAGGAAAAATCTTCTCTTGATATGGTAGCTTAAAAAAAACACCCTGCTGGTATTTATTGATGTGGGGAAAAGCCTGGGAAGTCTTGCAGTTTGTGATTCTGCTTAATAGCAGGGAAGTTGTATTCCTAAAACTTTGTTAAAATGGGCTTTTTTTTTTTTTTTTTTTTTTTTGCTGTATTGATATTGGGGTGCTTTAATAATTCAGAAGTTCTTTTCTGCTCTGATCCTTGAGCTGTACTTCAAGGTAGTTTTCTAGAAATGTAGCTTGTGCGTGTCAGAGGCAGGGTAGAGACAGGATGTATCTCTATGGTGGAACACTTGCCTGAGTTCAATCCAGGGCCAGGGAGGGAGAAAAGAAGGGGGAGCTGGGAGAGGAGCAGGAAATTTAGCTTATGCTACGTGAGCTGTTTTAATATTTCTGGGTCACTGCTGGATTCCTAATGTTACTCATTCTATTTGTTTGTTTGGTTGGTTGGTTGGTTTGGTTTTTCAAGACAGGGTTTCTCTGTGTAGCCCTGGCTGTCCTCGAACTCATTCTGTAGATCAGGTTGGCCTTGAACTCAGAGATCCACCTGCATCTGCCTCTCAAGGGCTGGGATTAAAGGCATGTGCTACCACCACCTGGCATTCTTTACCTGAACTTTATAGAATGACCCTAAACTTTCTGGGTTGATAATCTAGCTTGCCTCCCTTTCCTGTCCTGCCTGTGGTTAACTGTCCTCTCCTCCTTGGCTTCTGTCTATAGGATGCTGGGGAGTCTGGCATCAATCATCCCCGAAAGGAAGAATGCCCATCACAGTATACGGCAGAGTTTGGATTCCCATGATAACGTAGAGGTTGAAGCTGCTGTGTTTGCGGCTGCAAACTTTTCTGCACAGTCCAAGTAAGCATGGGCCTTTTAGTAACTTGGCTCCCGTGGGAATTTTTTAAAGAGTAACTTACCAATATCTGTAATATGTAAATTATGAGGTCCATTTTCCAAAAGTCTTACACCATGTTGGGGAAAGAAAATGCAGATGTTGGGCCCAAAGAGACAAGGCCTTCCTAGCCTGGTTTGTGGAAGCTGCCTTTGGTAGCTTTGATGTCTACTGAATAACCTTCCACAAAAATATCCATGATCCAAGATTGCAACTTTCTGATTGTCTTTGGCACAGTTTGGCCAACATAATAACTGAAAATAAAACTGACTTTGGGGTTGAAGAGAGGGCTCAGAGGTTATGAGTACTGCTTGCTCTTCCCGAGGTCACAATTTCAATTCCCAGGAACCAAGGGTGGCTCATAACCATCTGTAATGAAATCTGGTGCCCTTTTCTGGCATTCAGGTATACATGCAGGCATAAGGTTGTATACATAATAAAATATGTAAATATTTTTAAAAAACTGATGTATTTAGGATGTTGTATGCTGCACTGCTGTCTTAGAAGAGTGTGTGTGTGTGGATGTGTACATGTGTGGGTGCATGCCTGCATGCGTGTGTACATGTGTGTAGAGGCTAGAGGACACCCCCAGATTAGTCATAGTTCTTAGGTGCTGTTCACCTGTTTGGAGACAGGGTCACTGGCCGGCAACTTACCAAGCTGGCCAGCCAGGCTCCAGGGATCCGCCTGATTCTGCCTTCCCACACGTTAAGGCTCTAGTTGGGGAGTGAACCTGGGAGAGCCGGGCTGAAGATGAGTCACACCCACTAGCCAGCTTTATTCAGAGCATCAGTCAGTTACACTCTGAGGGCTAAGAAAGGACATGGAGTAAAGAGCACAACCACAAGGACAAGCTGCATATGGTGAACACGTTTTTCCATGGAGGAATGAATGACCACAGCTGAGGTAATCGCACTCCAAGAGCAAGTTTGTGTCTTGAAGAAACTGAGTTCACAAGACTCTTGTCTTGTTTTCTTGGCATTTTCTCCAAAACATTCAGAATCCCTTACTCGACTCCACCCTGGGACTGTGTTTTAACACCGCACACCGGCGTTGTAGGCATACCATAACTGGCTTTTCTTAGTGTGGGTTTTAGGGATTGAACTCAGGTCCTCAAGCTAGACCGTTACCAACTGAGCTATCTCTGCAGTTTAATAGTATTTGTTAATTATTTTTATTAATGTGTGTGTGTGCCATATGCATATAGGCACCTGTAGACACAGGAAAAGGGCATCGGATTCCCTGGACTGTGCTCTGACCACTGGCTCATCCCTCTGGCCCCATAATTTTGTTGTTTTCTGAGACAGGCTCTCACTCTGTAGCTCTCTCTATCCTGGAACTCATTTGTAGACCAGGCTGGCAAAGATCCTCCTGCCTCTGTCTTCCAAGTGCTGGGATTAAAGGCGTTGGTCACTACACCCAGCCCCGCCCCATACATTCTCAAATAGAATGTTGAGCCTTGTTGGGCTTATCTGTAATGAAGTGTGTCACTCCCTGACTGATAGCCAAAACTAACTTTGTTTTGGAGACTGTTGTATGGGAGGCCATAAACACGTGCTTTCCCCTGGCCAGTCGACCGACTTAATTCCTGAGAACTTGGCTAAGGATGAACAAGGGACACTGGCAGCTTCAAGGTGCTGCTTGTGCTGATACTGACATGGCAAGCATTTGCTTTTATGGAATAGGCAACCTGGGATATAGCTAAAGGTTTGTTTCCATGTGCACTTTAAAACACTTGTTAGCTTCAGACACGTACATCGGCATCTGGCTCTAGCCAGCCCTCCCACCTCCCCCAGGCCCTCAGTGCTTCTCTGTCCCCCTTTGACTTGACTCGTGTTCCTGAGTGTGCGCTTCCTCTCATGAGCTCCCCTGGCCACGTTAGAGTGCTGGTGGCTTGTCCTTGTGCAGGGCCTGTGCAGGCACCCTCAGCTGCTCCGAGTTGGTGCATGCAGTGGCGGTACCTTGTCCAGAAGACGGCATTCACCACTCCTTCTGCCCTGTCCTTCCCCACCCATGTTGGGTTTGATAGAACTGTCTCACATAGGAATGAGCATATGTCCTGCCCAGAGAGCTTTATTTTATAATCAGATGAATGAATGAATCAACAGTTTGCTTAAATACCTGTGTAATGTTTGATAAAATTTGAAATCCTAATTTTATTCCAACCTTACTTATATGTATGTTCTCTTCATATATTCCTATCATACCTCTGAAATTCCAGGATTGCTCATTGGAAAAGTTGAGAATAGTTAAGTGTGGAGTTTTAAAGTTTACTCTTCAAAGTTAGCAAGTATGGCAGTAATAGAGAAACGTGTGTACGTGCATGCATCTGTCTGTCTGCATTCATGCTTGCGTGCATGTATGTGTTTGCAGAGGCCAAAACAAGGGCTGGCTGCCTTGAGTTGGAGTTGAGGTGGTAATGAGCTGTTCGGCGTGGGTACCAGGAACCAAGCTCAGTCCCTTTGGAAAAACAGCAAACATTCTCAAGTGCCGAAACATCCCGATTCCCAGCTTCTGTTGTAGCTTGTGTTGTTTTTGTTACCAAGCGTGAGTTACTGCTACAGAGAGAACTTGTCTTACCTAGGAGTGTGCTGTGCACAGGTGTCCTCATGAACACCATCAGGGTGACTTGCAGTGGCTGCAAAAGCAGTTTTCTCAGTTCAGTTTCTCAAGTTGGATAGATAATTTAGTGACTAAATGTAGGTAGGAGGATTGTTTTTAGTTCATTTCTTGTGCTGTTACCAGAGGCTGGTTTTATTTCAGCTGTGGAATTTCTGTACCATCTGGAAATGAAGACACGTGTCACAGAAACTGCTTGTTCTTTTATGGAACTCATGACCAGTAACATGCACATTAATAGTCTTATGAAGCTCCAGGTGTCGCTCAGTGAACAGTCCTTGTCTAGCACGGACAAGGCCCTGGGTTTGATTCCCAGCAACACAGACACACTCCTGCGGAGACATGAACACTGATGACAGACAAAAAAAATGTTTCATTGACTAGTTTATTGGGGTTGCCTGTAGGAGGCCGAGTGAGTGATTGCTTACAGGAGCAGAGATGGCTCACAGGTAGCTGCATCACCAAAATGCCCACCCCAGCATAGGTGATGATTCAGGAAAGCTGCACCCTTGGAGCATTCTGTACCTGAGCCAGTAGGAGATCCAGCGAGTTATGCTTTGTGTGATGTGAAGAGGTGGCTTGTGAATTTTCTGAGTTTCAGGAACTTCCTGATACTTAACAGTTGTGCACCTACTGTGCTTTGTAAGTTTTGCTTACTTCCGAGTCTTAAGTAGTCTTAGGGACAGACTTTCAGTTCAGAGGAAATTACTGTACAACACTATCCTTCAATAACATATGTCTTTGTATTACATAATACCAGGTTAGTATAATAGGAAAGCCTGAAGCACTTACATATCAAAGTTTAAGTTAAGAAAATACATAATTTTTAGATGAGTTTTTATCTCTTCTTGAAGAGCTAAAGACCTTGCTAGAGATTATGTATCTCTACCAACATGGTGGATTTCTGTTATTTCTGTCATTCTAGATCTTGCTGAAATCAGAGTAACTGGCCAAATGAAACTTAACATTTTATTTAGCCAGGCATAGTGGTACATGCCTTTAATCCCAGAACTCAGGACACTGGCAGGTGGATCTCCGAGAGTTTAAGGTCAGCTAATGCTACATAGTGAGACCCTATATCAAAAGGCACAAGAAAGAGAACTTTTAAATCTCTGCTGTATCTCACTTGCTGTAAAAGGTTAAGATGGTGCTTTGTACAAGAGCTTGTTCTGGCTAGGCTCACAGAGGAGCTGGTCAGCTCTGGTGCTTTCAGGGATGAGGCGAGCATAATCAGAGCAGTGTTCCTCTTCAGTCACCAACTAAAGAGCCCTGGCTTCTTTAGAGGGGTGCTATCCAACAGCACCAACCCACCGCTGTAAGGAGGAACTTCTGCTGCCGAGCTTGACATGATGTGGGGTGGGGCCTGGGGTGTACAACTAGGGCACCACATGACTTTAGTCTCAGCAGTTTCAGTATTGACAGCAAGAATTTATTATTAGACCAAAAAGGGGGGAAGTCAGCAGGCTCCTACTCTGCATTTTTTTTGAGCCCAAAGGGCTGAAACTGGGTTTTTTTTTTTTTTTTTTTTTAAACTTTGGAATTGTTATAAAATGTGTTGTGGTAGTTACTGAACATCCACTGTTGCTGCTCTAGAGGCAATGGGAACTGAGAGAATGGAGTCAATATGAGGCGGAATAAAGTCTCATGCAGTGCCAGCTTTAGTCAGAGCCTCTCACAGCTTATACCCTAAGGGTTAAGAAAGGTCCCCTGAGTAAAGTTCTCACGAGTTCAAGCCACACGTGGCAAAAGCAAGTTCTTCCATAGAGGCACATAAAGGATAGTTTAAATGTTTAATTGAAAAACAGCGGCAAGCAATAATGAGCAATTTAAAGTAAATTCAGCTACACCTGGGAGGAGCCCGGAACCATCCCAAGAACATTCTGTGTTTTGAAGAAACAGGCCACAGACTCCTGTCTTGTTCTCTTGGAGTGTTCCCATGAACACTCAGAGCTCTTGTAGGACTCCATTCCTGGACCTGTTCCTACAGTAAAACAACCACCACAACAACAGCTCTGTTAGCTGTGTGCTGCTGTGGCCATGGTCTAGTGGGCTGCCTGAGCAGGTCTGTTGGACTAGGCCGCTCCAAGGAGCTGGCGAATGGCCAGGGCCGGGTGCTGAAGAAGACAAGCTCTGAGACAGGATCTGCCTTTGTGCAGGCTGCCTCAGCCTTGAGATCTTCCTGCCTTAGCTCCCAACTGTGCCACCACATCTGGCCTGCCTTCACACTCTTAAAAACAAACATGTTACAGATGTGTATGCCATTAGAAACTTAAGGAGCTGATAATTAAATATAACTTTAGGAATAACAGATCCAAAATATGTTAGTGTAAAATATGTTTATGGAGTGCTTATTTTCCCAAAACAAACAAACAATTTCGTGAGAAAGGGTAGCCTTAACATTTTTACAAATGTCTTCAAGGCTTGGCTAAATTCTCATTTATGTACTTCTGCACTAACGTTTGTCAAAATACATTATTTTGATTAAAGTGTGTGAAAAAAGTCCAGTCTTGCACAGATAGTGGTGGAAAGCGGAGGGCTTCTGAAGCTGTCCCAGGTTCATGACTGACTGAGGACCTTTGAGGTGGTCTGTTAGGAAGCACTGGCTCACTTGTGTTCTTCGGGTCTTCGAGTGTTCCACCACATAAGGACTGCATTTGAGAACACCGCCACCACTTTTCTACTCCTGGGAACAAGTATGTTCTCTGTAATTGTAGCTTTTGCTGATAACTAGAGCACTGTAATTGTCATAAGAGAGTCTCGGTTGTTTGCCTAAAGTTACATGCTGACTTTAACTCATCATCTTCCAAGACAATTCTTTGGCTGATAGGCAAGGCTGAGTAGCTGTGTCCCAGGAAGACATACTATTTATATCTAAACGCAAACAGTTGCTCTGGTACTGTGTCTGAAGTATGCCGCTATGTGTTTTGAAATGTAGTACAATGAGTAATTTCAGTTTTGCGAAGAACATTCTATACAGCTGGCTTGTGTTCTCTTTTTAATGTGAGTTTATAGTAAGGAAGAATTCATGACCCGAAGTACAGCTGCTGCCGTGGCCTTGATTCTTACCACCTCATCAGGATTTTACTGGGTGTTATTTCACCAAACATGATGGATGGAGGGAGGGAGCGAGGATGGTGCCAATGTCATCATACCTGGATAAACCGTGAGATAAAAACAAATGTTACTGATTTTGAAAAATTCAACCCAAAACGTGTTGTCAAGACTTTACATAAGAGAAAATGCCCTTCAGTTGGGTGGTGCTGATGTGGAAGGGTACAGATCCCCAGCCCCAGCTGGAGGCTGGCTGTGCGTGGTCCGTCTGCACTGTGCGGGGCTGTGCTCTGTGCGCTGTCAGTCTCTCAGCTCATGCGTGTGCTCGTGTGGCTGTGGCACCCTGCCAGTTAACCCTTGCTTGAATTTATGTGCAGAGCTGTGCCTAGAGACCCCACAGACCAGGAGAGCTCATTGCATCCCCTGGCTCTGGAGTTGTAGAGAGGTGGTTGTCAGCTACTGGGTAGGTTCTGGGAACCAGACCTGGGTCTTCTGCAAGAGCAGTATTCTCACCCTGAGCCACCTCTCCGGAGGTGAGGTGCACAAGTTGTCTGTCACTAAAATACTCAACCCTTCTATTTGAATTCTAAGTTAATCATCTCAACATAGTAATTGAACTGTCACTGCTACCTTAATTCTTTGTCAGAGTGTTTTGTTGAGTAAGAAAGTAAGTTACTGTCTTTACAACAAGGAAGACAATAAATTAGCATCTGTCCAGCCAAGGATTGTGTGGTCACATTTTTTGTTTTTCCTACTTGGAGTTTTGTAATCCTCCAGACTGAGTTAGGAACTCCATCTTTCAGTATCTCGTCATCTATAGTATAACCACAGCCTGAGAAGACAAGTCTTTTTCTTTCAAACCAATGATTTCCCTTAAGTATAACAAAAATACTCTGCAGATACATATTTTAAATTTTTTTTTTTTTTTTGCAAGAGGGTATTACACAAACACATGTTTCTGGCAAAGCAAAGTATGCCCATGCTGCAAGAAGTCTCCCTGGTGACACTAGGCAACACCTCCTGGAAGGGCCCAGTGACAGCTGACAGCCAGAGTATTGTAACTGAGGAACCACTGAGTTCATTGGCTTCCTTACAGTGCCTGGTGGGTGAAGGCTTGTTGACAGGAGTGTGCACAGGCGAGGATGGTGCTTCCCATGCCTGCAGGTGGAGCCTAGTCTTCTCCTCACATGACCCGGCCCCTCCCTGAGACCCGGAGGCCACATGCATTTAGGGCAGAATTGCATGTAACTAACTGTTTGGGAGTGTTGGTGAGGTACTCAAGTATTCCATAGCCCTCCCTGGTCCTTTGTGTGAGGGAGTGGCAACAGCCAACAAGTCCAGCTGTGGTCTTGTGGAAGCAGGAACAGGCAGCTGTTTAGCCCAAGCTAGGCAACTTGGTATGTTTTTGCACTGACACAGGGAAAGTTCATGATACCAAAATCTTGGTGGACTGGCTGATAGATTATGTAGGTATACCAGATATCTATACAGATAGAGGCTATACAGATCAGCATAGGTGACCTAGGATAAAGCAAGTATACTGGAGGAACTCAGAGCATGCTGGGTCAGTCACAGACATATTTATAAATTAAGCTCGTGACCCAAGACATTTCTAGGACTGGGATACAATTTAGTGGTAGAAGGCTTCCTCAGTCCTGGATTTGGTTCCCAGTACCACAAAAAACAGAACATTGTAGAAAACAGAAGGCACACATTGCATTGGTGGTTAAGAGATGAAGTCTCCACGTCTAGAGACTTAAAATCGCAGAATTGCCTTAGCAGCAGGGAGGGCTTCACTTAGACTTGCATGGCCCTCATGTCCTGCACATCATGTAGTTTGGCTGCATAAGCCAAGTTTGATTACATTGTCTCCCATATCATATGATAGTTTCTCCCAAGTGCTGATGTTACTGGGTTTTTTGGTATTGGATGATATTTCTGTTAGGATCACAAAGTATGTCTTCTTTTAAGTATTTTGGCTTTTGAAGAGTCTGTCAGTGTTCAGTGTCAGCCACTTCAGTGCTAGGGATTGGCTGTGCTTGTGTCGTCAGAACTTGCGTGTTAACATGTGTTCTCAAGTGTATGTTGTAGTAGTCCCCTTGGTTCTCTCACAGAGGGTTGCTGAGACTCAGCCTGAAGCAGCACCCACTGCTGAGCATCTCCCTCAGTGCAGGACTGGAGTGGAGGCCTAGGTGTAAGGAAATATTGATGCTGTGATGATTGTGTTCTTTGCACTTACGAACCTTAGTTATGGCAGGTGGTGGCAGATGCCTTTATTCTCTGAGTTTGAAGCCAGGCTGGTCCATAGAGCTAGTTCCCAGACACTCAAGACTACACAGAGAAACCCTGTCTCAAAAAAACCAAAACCAACGATCCACCCCCCCCCCAATAAAACCTCTTTGATTCTTTATGTTGTTGCCAACTGTTTTAATTTTCTCTTTCAAAGGGATTTTGCTGTGGGAATCTGTAACAAAATCAGTGAAATGATTCAAGGTATGTATATTTTTGGTAATGTGAAGAGACTTAACAGGGGTCTTGTTAACAATGGTTGCTTGTGTTTATAGGTGTGTACTGTGTGTGAGTCATTATTTATAATAATACTAAATATCCTCTGTATGTCAAAAATGCCTGAGGTGCTTAGGGTATGGAAATGAAGCAGGGTCCTCACTGTCATGTAACCTGAGGTCTACTTGGGAGACGAGTGAGCAATAGACAGGTGCAGACAGGATGTGTGAGGTGCTGTGGGAAACTTGTAGGGAGAGAGTCCCAACAAGGTGAGCGATGGGAAGGCAGCAGGATGTGCTCTACCTGAGTTGATTCCAGAGCCCTAATGGAGTAAGAAGGAAGGAAGGACAGGGCATGGCTGCAGAGAGGACTGCAGTGCCAGCAGGAGCTCTGCGGTTGTCTGATAGCACCCGCCTGAGGTTTCTCCCTGCGCCCAACGGCGGATCGTGTGTCCCGTCGAAGTTTTCCCTGCATGACTTCAGGTGTAGAGGCAGCTCCGCCTGTGGCGTTGCACAGTTCCCAGGGCCACTCCCCCTTCGCCTTCTGAGAGCTGGCCTCGCTGTGCCGCTCAGCGTGGTGACGACTTAGAGCTTTCCACACAGGAGACGGAGCTCAGTCGTCGTTCGCTTGTACAGCTAAGAAGTAGCAAGCCTTTTGGTCCTGAGTCTCCTGTGCTGCGTTGCCTGTCTAGAGTAGGGTTTCTTTAGGAGAGCTGTGTTTTTATGGCGCTTAAAGGTAAAGAGAATTTGCTCACTCAGAGAGCAAGACAGATACAGCTTTACCCTCTCCCCTTTTATTTCCTTTGTCTTCTTTTTAAATTTTTTTTTCTTCCACCAAAAATGGTATTCCTAGGATGCTAGCATTGAGACATTAGGAAGAGCATCCCCCATTCACTGAGCAGGTTTTTGTGTTGATGGTTTTGTTTTGTGTTTATGTGTAAGGGTGTTTTGCCTGCATGTGTGTCTGTGCACAGGAAGGCCAGAAGAGGGCATCAGATCCTGCGGAGCTGGAATTACAGAAGGTTGTGAGCCACCATGTGGGTGCTGGGAAGGAAGCCCAGGTCAACTGGAAGAGCATCCGGAGCTCTTAGCAGTTGGCCCGTCCTTCCAGCCCCCAGGGCAGGAATTTGTTGAGTGCCTGCTGTGGTACTTACGGTCTCACCTAGGAACAGGCGCACTGTTTGAGTTAAGATAATTCACGGGGAGTTTCTATAAAGGAGCCATTTACAGAGCAACAGGTATCACATTCTAGGGGCTAATGTAGCTCAAGACCCAGTAGCTCTTACAGCCCTCTAGAGCCCAGGGACAGGAACTAGGCAGCAGAACCATCTTGCTGAACCCTACTGTGCCAAACATGGTGCAAGCCTTTCTTAGGAGGCAGAAGCTGGCAGAGTTCTATGAGTTCAAAACCAGCCTGGTAGCAAGTTCTGGTCCAGCCCAGGCTACATAGAGAGACCCGGTCTCCAAAGACTGACAAATACAGCAGTTTTTATAACTATACTTTCTGATAAAGCTACTGATTAGTTCTACTATAATTATCTTGACTGTTGTAACCATTGTGATGTATTGCAC